ATACTACATTAGAAAAGTACCTGATTAAAAGCCAAAAAAAACCCCAAAACACATTCTCAGTTACCTAGATGTGGCAGTATAGACTGCAGCCACTATTTCTTGAGACTTACTGCACAAGTTTACACATTATAGGCCTTCTCTTTTACCACTTCCAAAAGCAGAGTCTACAATGAAAGGAGATACACCAGCTAAATTCAGGGTTAAGGGGTTTGCATAGGATTTGGAAGACCAAGGCTATATTCTCAACCCAGGTATACGCTGTTTATGACCTTGATTAAATCAGTCCAGGCAAAAATCACATAACCGACCTCATTATAGGTCATTCTTTAGAGTTCAAGCTCCTTCTCTGCCTGAGGATCTTGCTTCCCTCTACATTTCATCTCTCCCTGGTCTACAAAGCACAATGGAAACACAGATATTCACAGTAGCGCTAGATCTACTCAAAGACTCCGCACTCACAAAAGGTTTCATGTGATTAACAAGCCCTGCAGGGACATGGTGCTGCACGATTAAATATACCGAGTAAAATGCCTGCTCAAGGATCACAGTACAGACGTGCACATGCTTCTCTTAAAGTTGCAATGCAAAATAAAGCCGTCTGTACAGAACACACTAAGAGATCTAAATTTCCTATTAGCTAATCAAAGAACTCCGCACTTAAACAGAGACCCACATCCCCCCAAGGCAGGTACCAGATCTCCCTATATTGTGTAGGGAGTGGTTCTTAGCCACTCAGAGCTGTGGATTCTGCATCCTGACAAAACCCCTAAATTCTTTTGTACATCATGACCACAGCATTCCCGTATCTCTGCTTACTACAGATATGCTGGGTGATACAAAGTTTGAGGCATACAGTTACAGTGGCAGCAAGAACTGTATAAATACCTCACAGAGATTTTGGGTAGACCAACTCCTAATTCAGGACCATTGTCTCCAAGGAGTTTTTGGTATTTTTAAACGATCAACTAAAATAGGTGGCTGAATACCAATACAGGATTGATGACAACAGCCACACAACAGTTTGAAACTTCCTTTTCTCCTCTATCATGGCAAGTTAACTACCAAAGCGGTAATCAAGCCTATATTTCTACACACATAAGAACTCCCACTGACATAAATATGTGTTTAGGGTAAGCTGGAAATACATAAAAGTCATTCCTACTAATAGGCACATTTCGAGCTGTCAACAGTGATTTGCGTATAACACTAAGCAGCGTGAAGAGACAGCCACAATCACTCCATATTAATTCAACTTGCAAGAAGATGAAGGTCAGGGGAAAATAAGCAAAGCAAAACTAAAACCAGTACTTGTCAGATGGAAAAGGACAAAACCAGTTGGAAAATAATTTTATTTTTCAGACTTCTAAGAAAATTTACAAACAATGGCGGTGTAAAAAAAAAAGACACCCTATAAAAAAGGTTGACATCATTTCTCAAACCAGAGCATCAAATGAAGTTACAGAGCAACAAGCGTACAGTGAAATTCTATTCGTCAAATTAGCATTAGCTAAGTAGTTGAAAATGTAATCAGTCTAATAATAAATCTCTACATCTTACTCAGAAATCCCACAACAATCCAACATTCTGAGCTTAAAATATACTTACAATACACAAAGAATTCATCTCTGCAATCATCTATAGCACTGAAATCACCTAGGCAAAAATTACATAGCAAAGGCACACCTTATGAAGTTTGTAAAGAAGGACATCTTGAGCACACTACAGTAACATACAACAGAAAGCAAAACACCCTGCATGCTTGCTTATTAATCCCCAATGTCTAAATAGAAATACAATATAGAAATAACAGAAGCAAATTTAGTGGCTTTCTTCATGCTGGTTCTATTCTTCATCCAGAGTGAAACAGAAAGGCTTCCTTGCCCTATTTTCTGTTTGAACCTTTGCACTTTCCCAGGGTATGTTCTCCCTACGTTCATCATCATCCTTGTCATTAGTGGAGCAGGTGGTTCTTAACCAAGTCAATCCCAATCACGAACCCCACCATGCCTTCCACATATGCATGTCTTCATCCTGCAACCTGTCTCCAACTCGTCACACGCTGAACTCCACCACACTCAGACAACATGCCCAAATCTAACCACGATTTGCCACAAGTTTGCATAAAAGGGAAAAAACAAGCAAATGCTTATATCCTTTATTACTGCTGGAGGCTTTCCTCTATTCAGGTCACTCAGTCACTTTAAATAGCAGGCATTTTAAAACCATCTACACAATTTAATTAACAGCTTAACTTGAAATTGCAAAGGAACTCCAAACACTGGCACACTAAAGCCTTTGGAACGTGAATTTGAATAAATGTGAAAACTTGGTGTCTTATCCACAAATCAGATCCTCCTGGCCCTAACTGCATTTTAAACATAATCTGTTCAGAGCACAAGGAATAAGAATTATTTTTTTTAGTTACAGCATACAGATTGGTACTTTCACTGTATTTATCATGAGAAAAGCCAAAGACAGTGTCCATTAAATACTGCTGAAATAACTCATCTTGATGGTTCAGAACAATGTATCAAAAGGCTACTCTTTTTTCTCAAAAGAAAAAAAAAGAATAGAAAAAGAAAAAAGAATCATGCAATTTAATAAGTCTTCTTTCCCAAATGCTTACCAAATGCTTACAAATAGGTAGGCAAAAAAAAGAAAAAAGATAAGCAGATGAGTATACCTCATGCTAAAACAGGAGTTAGTAAGAGTGTTCCACCAGTGTTTCTCTCACTACTTTTGTCTAAATTGACAATTCCTGACATTCTTGCCAACAGATATTATTAGGGCAACTAGAAACAGCATGAAACCTGAGAGCACTTTGCAATAAAAGATGTGGATGGGTATGTTTTTGGAGTAAACAAGCAGTTAAAGGAGGAGTGACATAAATTAGCCTTTCATAGCTTTGAAGATATACAATAGAATACACACTTTCAGCTTCCTGTCTGCCTCACATGTCCAGGTGAATTTGATAAATTCATGTCTAAAATGACAATTCAAATCACAGAGAAATGTTAGACCACGTGAGATAACTGTACCTGAACTAATTATTTCCTTGCTGCCTATAAAAAAGCCATTTTTGAGATTTCTAATCCCAGAGCAGAGCCCTTCTATGAATCAGTCTGGTGCATTTAGATTAAATGGATTTAGATATTTTTTGTTTCTTTTGCATTTAGATTAGACATTGGGATTTAGATTAGATATTAGGAAGAAATTCTTTATTGGGGAACAGGACAACACTGGAACAGGCTGCCCAGGGAAGTTGTGAAGGCCCCATCCCTGGAAGTGTTCAAGACCAGGCTGGATGGGGCTTTGAGCAACCTGCTCTACTGGGAAGTGTCCCTGCCCATGGCAGGAGTGCTGGAACTTGATGATCTTTAAGGCGCCTTCCAACCCAAACTATTCTAGGATTCTATGATTTTTCCCATCTTCTCTCTAACTACAGGCAGCAGACACAAGAAGGCAGCAGCAGAAACACTGCTGTGTGCACCACTGCCTGCGCTGCAAGAAGAATGGAAGAGGGAGGCTGAATCTCAGGCCCTTGCATCAAGCCAAGCTTTCAGAATTAGGCTAGAGGGCTAGCAAGGGCCTTGGTGTCCATGGCTAGCAAGGATGGTCTTGGAAGAACACTGATCCTCGTGATCAGTGTAGACACAAATTTATAAGACCTATCACACCAGTGCCTCCCTACCTCCCAAATGCTGCAAGAACGTGACAAAGTACTGCCCCAGGTGCCATTACAGAGACTATACAAGCACCTCAGGCAGACAGCATTTTCCAGTTTTCATACACGTGAAGGCAGTCAACAATGCAAATGCATGAAATACCTTGTGAGAAGAAAACAATCCCTCAAGTTCATAATATTTCTTTCATAACGTGTTATACACTCAACCCCCTTTCATGGCAGTGATTTATGTAATCCCACACGTTCAATTAAAATGTATACACTTCAGTGGCAATACTTAATTCCTCAAACAAAAGTCTCTCTAGCTGAATCCCTACTTCACACATTCCTTAATTTAAGCCCTCTCTCTAACCTTCCCAGCCTTTCAACAGCTCACTAAGACAAACAGCTTTACCTTCTTCTAGTTTAGCAAACATGTTCACCAAAAAGGTCTTCTCCAGAACAGGTAAAACCAAAAATATTTTGTCCATGCAATATACAAATAACATATAAAGCTTACTGCCCTAAAAAGCCAAGAGCTTCGCACTGTTCAAAAAGAATTCATGGCAATATCAGTCATAGTAACAACTGTGTCTAGAAAGGCATACGAATCTCAGTGCTTCAGGTTTTAAGTCTTTATGTGACTGGTGATCAAAGATATTTTTTCCTGCAAATACACTGTCCTGGTAGTACACTTACGAGTTTTTGCACACCTCCTCTAAAGTAACTGTCACTGGTCTGTTATAAATATACTGGATTAGTTGACGTGCTATGGATTGCCATGCTAACTTCACTATCTTCTCTTTCCCCAGTGAGAAGCTTCACTGATCTGGCTTCTTATGCAAGATATGTTCAAACTACAATGATAAAGAAAAGAAAAACAACAATAGAATTAAAAATCTGTACTGTGGTTACCTAAAAAGCAGCACATACTATTTAGCCTCCCTTCTTTTTTCTTTTAAAATACCAGCAGTAAGACAGATCAATGTCCTTCAAGCTAAACTACTATTAGATGACAAATTCAGCCCTCTCATGAGCCTGTAAGGCTTCTGTCTCTGTCACTGTAAGCTGTTTGCATACATCAAAACCCAAAATTGGCCAATTTAAAAGCAATGATGACTGATGGCCTGTATTCTTCAGTGTTTTCTTGATCAGGAACAGATTTTGAGGAAACCGTGTGCTAAGCCTCTCAACTTGAGCATAAACACAAAAGTTATTACCAGTTCAAATTATAAAGGAAACAATATTATTTATGACTTGCAATTTAAGTCATTTTAAATTAATCATGCTCTATTAATTAAGGCTTGTTAGCATCTGCTCAGTGTTAGGTATTTACCTTTAGTCCACCACAGATTGGACAAGCTGAAAAAAGAGCTCTTGTCATCCCAAGGTGGGGGCTACATGTCTCACAGGGGTCAGCTGAGGCCCCACTAGGTGGTGACAACTCACTACTTTTGGAGTCTGACACCTGTCCTTGAGGTTTTTTGTCTGACCACCTCGAAACAAAATCCACATATGTCTCATCACTTGAGTCCTTGGTGCCTTCTGCGAGCAAGGATGAAGGCCTCCCTCTGTCCTGGCTGTGCTCAGGTACCCTCCGTGCTTCCAAGTGTGGTAGTAGCAGTTTTGGGTCACTCGCACCTTGAGGTGACAAGCCCTGGTCCTTGGGTAGTGTGGAATCTGTACTCTTTGGTTGCACATCTTTAGAAGCTGCCTGTAACAAACTCCTGGGTATATCGTAAATATGCCTGAGAGAGCTGGGAACCTGATACTCTGATCCCGCACCTCTCTGGGGCTCACTGTGAGGACAAGTACATAGATTCTGATCTGAAGGAAAGTTCAATGGCAGGCTTAGCAGCGATCCAAACTCATCACCATGGCAAATGTCCAAGCTCCCAGCATAGGAAGAGAAGCTTCCAGAGTAAGAAGAATGACTACCAGTAGCTATTCCGCTGTCGGACGAGCTCTGACGACCTATTTCCTGTAGCTGTCTGGATCGGAGGGGCTTTGGAGGTGGTTTAGTGGTGCCACGTGCCCCTTCTGGAAGGGTCTTTTCTTCCCCAAGATGAATGCCTTTTGCCGCTGCCAGTCCGTGACTCTCTTGAGAAGTGCTGGCTGAAGACTGTTCAGGCCAAATTGTCAATCTGCTCCCAACACTAACATCCGAGTGGCTGGTATCTGAAGATGAGCTTGAAAGACTTCTATCATCTCCTAGAAAAAGAAAACGCATCAACCTATGTTTAAAACACAATCAACAGACTGAAGCATGGCAAGTGTATACAAACAGAAAGGGCCCTGTTATTCCATTGGCTTTTTGTAAGAGTAACTTCTGCCACAAAGCCAGAATTCCTCAATAATTCCTAGCCCCATGCGAAAAATAAAATGAAAATAGTAAGTTACCTTGCCATAAGCCTACAGCATTGTGGAACCTAATGCGTTCAAGGCTAAATTTTTAGATGCACCAAGTTCTCCCCTTTTCAACCATATTTTACTTTTGCACAGTCAATTGGTTTTATTTTAGATACTCCTATATCAAAGCCCCAGACTCAGAATAGCTGAGGATGCTTTGAAGAAAACCCTGTTACTGTGACCCAAAGCCAGATAAGACATTGCCTGTTTCTATTTGATCTGAATCAACAAAAGTATTATCTTATTTGTACTTTTTTATTTAAATCTTATTTGAATGACATTAAAATGAACATTAACGAGACTGCAAAAATAAAAATCAAACTTAAGACAGTCCTGTTCTCTCTTTGGAGCTCTCCTACATTGTACTTCATAACATCCATACCAAAGTGCAACCATAAATCACTTTAACAACTAAAAAATTAGAATACTACTATTAAAAAGATTATTACATATCTATATACAAAAATATCTTCTGTGATTCATTTATGCACATATTGCAAGAAAGTTCTTTTGTCTCTTTGATACTTGCAAGAAGGACACTTTTACAGGTAACTACTGCTATACAAGACAGAAAATGGAAGAAAAAAAATAAACATTGGCATGAAATGGCATATTTACAGAAGACAAACATCATACAAACACATACACAAATACAAAGAAACCCACTTTCTTGTAGCAAGACACATATTCCACAATGTTATTTCCTTCCTTCCACAATGTTATTTCCTTCCTTCTTAAAAGGAATGTGAAAATAAAGGATGACAGCAGGATCATTTTGTGGGTATTAATTTTATTCACTTTAAACCTTGGGCAATAAAGTTGCCAGATGGGGTAGAAAGAGGAAAAGAAGGTCCACTGCAAATTGTGACCCCAGCTTCTGGTGTTACTAGGCTATTTCTATTCTCAAGTGTTGAAGGAAAAGTTTAGAACAATTCTCTTGCTCTTCATGAAATAATTCTGGATATATACTATCACAAAATAGCAATGTTTATCAAGTGAAATCTAATCCTTTCATTTGCCCAAGGACTCATTGCATGACACTGGCTTGTGACCCCCTAAATGTAACACCTGGGATTAAATTATACAGCTGTCTAGATGGAAGGCATGAATTACAAAAATATTAAGTGTAGTTCTCAGCAACATGCCCAGAAGAAGAAATATACTTGTTAAATAAAACTTACTCTGCTTACAAAACCCATATCTTTTTTTTTTTTTTTTTTTAATTAAAATCAGATTGTTGAATTTATTTGAAATCACTTCTCTTAGAGAAATACTTTAGGCACTTCAGAACTCTGGAAGGGAAGCCCTCCCGCAATCTTGGAGAAGATGCTCTAACTATGTAGAGCTCCAAGGCAGTGGCAGAACCTAGATCTCCAGATTCAGGCAAATGTCCTCCCATCAAACTTACAAGGACAATATTGTTCTTATATTTCCCATAAACACAAATATTTAAATTTCCTATGCAAAACTCAAATAACAGAATATGGAAATCTTACTCTAGGATTCCTCATTCTCCGAGGATTGTAACATTCTTAGGAGAATCAGGCCATAAATTCAAGTCATAATCTCAATCACAGAACGTATACAAAGTTGGGCCACGTTTTCTAACCAGAGTGACAGGATTATAAGAGGAGGCCGGCTTCCCTATCAGTTCTCATTTCTTTTCTATCTGCCTAGTCAAGTCTGGTAGTTATATGCTAACTAAGAAAAACCTCAGGAAGTCTCAGTGGAATTTAGGCACAAACCATGTTACTCAGCAGTGTCAAGAGTAAAGTAGCAATGGACATGTATAGAAACATGTCCATAATTAAGCTCTTGAGTATCTTCACAGGGCCATTTTTAAGCTTGTCAGCTTTAGAGTCAAGAGCAAAGCAGATGTTTTGAAGATCTAAACTTCTGTTATTAAACAATTCAAATCACAGTTGAGGGCATAGGCCCTTCTACAAATCCAGTGCTAGACACCAGTTCTACTTTGATACATAAACAACTCCAGAAGGGACATGCAGAGATACCAGCACAAAGAGCACTCAGAACCAGAGCACAGGAGTCCCAGGTTTTATTACAAAAATCTGCTGTAGGCCTGATGCGTGAGCTACACAAGTCAGTTCATCTCACAGGCTGGAGCGAGTCAAGTGCTTAAGCAGGTATCAAACTTGACACAGACAAATCTTTTGAATCTTTACACACACTCGGTAAGGTTCAGCATACTACAGGATTTTCCTGTGTTGATAGAGTTAGATCCAACTTGCTCTGTTCAGTTGAAAAACTCTAATCTACATCAATGGACTTCAGACAACGCTGTTTAGAGAACTGCCCCACAAGCAACAGCAGCCAAATCAAATACTTGACCATTTCTCTATTATTTTTTTTTTTAAGCTCATCATCTTATGATTACATATATATGTTCATTTCTAAATTCTGGGAAGGGAGTAACACCCTTTTTTTTAATTTAATTAAAGATATTTCTTACCTCCACTGCCCTGGCGACTTGTATGAGAAAGCAAGCTCAAGCGCTTTTCTAACTGCAAAGCTTCATGAGCCAATCTTTCTTCTGAATAGGCTGGATTTGTACTTGGATCTTCAAAAAGAAACAGAAAATAAATAAATAAATAAAGAAGAAACATGGAAAATATATAAAAGAAGGGGGGCAGGGAAAAGACACATTCTTATGTTAGGTACTCTGTTCTTATGTTTGACCTTCTACTACAGGAAAGGGAAAATGCTGATTGAGAATGCATGGGACAATTTGCATTCAACCACATCCTGGAGAAATGCCACATAATAAGTTATTATTTTAAGTGTCAAAGACTTTCAGAGATTATACACAATGTCTGTAAGAGTTACCACCAGGGACAGACCCCTGAAGTGCACAGCACTGAATGCAATAGCTACAGAGATAATCAGCATCCAGCAGGTCTAGTGGAGTTGAAAACTAATGTGACCTTTAAAATATGTCTTGACTTCACTGAAGTAATTGGGAATTTTATCATTGAGAAAGACCAAATTTTTCATCTAACAAATTCACATCAAATTTTCATCCTACAAATGTACAAATTTACATCATGAACTCAAACTCATAGTGGTTAAATTATCTGACACCTTCCAATCCAAGTTATCTATTTACGAAGACATTGCTTTCAAGTTTGATGTTCAGAAGGTCATTAAGTTTAGAAATCGGAGATGAAAAAAGCAACCTGGTAGCCCTCAGTCTTCATGTTTAATGCAAGACAAGTTAGAACAGTAAAAATCACTCCTAAAATGTCCTATCAGGGATTTTCCCTGTATATTTTAGTAAGTTTGCCATTCCAGCTGAATTTAGTTCACTGAAGAACGCTCCTTCTATTCCAATAGAAAGAGAAAAAACAAAAGTTATACAGAATGTGGAAGAACTTTCATCAGTAAAACAGGCCAGTTTCCTCTAAAGCATTTTGTTTCCAGCCGGGCACAACAATAAAACCAGATGTTGGAAATAATCATAACCACTACCCCAAGAGAAATCTTACAGATATCTTCAAACAGCACTGACAACTGTGTCATGTTCAGCAATTGCAAAGGATATGGTCTGCTAACTTGTCCATCATTGGAAGTTTCAGTAGCTCTTATTAATTACATAGGGAAAGGAATTAATGACAGATAAAACAGATTAGCTTCCTCACAACTGCTGCTCTTGTATGTCTGATCAACTGGGTAGTAGTAGCACACTATAAAAACATTTACTCATTGAATCATTTAATAAGAGGAAAAAGGATGAAAAGGGTTACACATTGCTGTGGTTGAGTTAGTAAAATAAAAACAGTTGAAATGATAAAAGAAAAGTTTTATTTTCATGCCAGGTCTTTCAGTTTTAAAACACTTGGGTTTGATGTTGTCAACACCACAGTCAAAGCCAGGTGAGCTGAGGCTCCATGGAAGTCCCTACATTATAAACTACCTGATAAACAAGCTGCCTCATCTCTCCCCTCTTTAACCATATTCGTTTTTTGATCTTCCCTGGGTAGATCCTAGTGCATCACAAGAGCAGAAGTGACAATGCTGAACTTTCTTCCCCATGCAGAGAGGGTTTCTGCCTTTACGAGTCTACAGTCTGGATAAGATTAGCAGAACAAGACAGACACACACAGTCTTTCTATAACAACATATGTTGGAAATCAAAGATGTGCCAACAGGGATAAGGCAACAATGCCTGTGACAAACAGGGTCTGTGACCTCTGCGCCTCCCAGTTCAAACAGTGTTTGATGTGTCTGACACCTTCCACACTTAACTTTAAGAACAGAAGAGAGGACTGTTTGATACAGATTATTTTGTTAGGTCTCCATTCCTATTTCCCTGCAATACAACTCATATTAAGCATTGACTAGTTCAAACCTGTGTAACTACTTACTCAAACGAAACCCCCAATGCTTCCATATGGACCTCTGCCAAAAGAAAATACAAGATTTGGCCACCAGCACCTATGGTGCAACCCAGACAGGTCTATGCAAGGATCTGCTCAGCAGCTTACAGTGTTACAGGCTGCTGCTTGAATCTATTTTTGAATGTCCTCTGCTCCAGTTACTCTGCTCTATCTAGTTAAATGCCCTTATGTCCAAAAACGTTCAACTTCGAGTATAAAGCTGGCATAACAGATCAGCAAATTAGACAAACCAAGATGCAACAGACACTAGCCCTTCACACAGCAAAGAACTGTCAGTAGGAAAGATCTCTTCACTTCTCTAAGAATACAATTACTAGATAAATATAGGTTTTCAGAATGTTATTGCAGCACATACACAATTATTAGGTTTTTAGTAACTGATATCCCTCTTACAGACAGAAAAAGATAATTAAAAACACCCAACACCTGGTCAAGCAACTGATCTTGCAAAACTGGCCTGTAATAAAATACAAGACAGGGAGGTAGGAGGGAAGTTGAAGCAAAGTTTCAGTAAGTTTCTATTTCATATGTTCAATTGCTCCTAAAGCCAAATTCCCTATCAGCCACACAGCTACAGAACACAACAGATTTCACTCAACAACATGAAATCTCTAGTCCAACAGACTGATAATTTATTTGGTTACACTTCCCCTTAAGGATTGCCTTTGTATAAAATGTGTGTATAAAATTGGGTTCATAGTTGTGTGAGGGCCGTGACCCCTCATTGCCCAGTTTTACAGAAGATTGATTAGAAGAATCCTTTCTCAGCAAGTACTAGGAAATTTCCAGAGAAGAAACTTCAAAATCTGCCAAACAGATGTAAACTTAAAGTATTAGACAGATAATAAAAATAATTGTCCATCAGTTTTACTGAAGTTTGGTTTGCCTTTAACCTTCTCTGCTAATAAGCAAGACAGAAAACACACACAACACTATTCTCCAGAAGCAGCAGATTCTTATACCAGTATTTTTGGTTACAGACTACCAAGCACGAATCAGGAGGTTTTGTTACAAGATCATACTAAGGACTGAAGTCACTGGCAGCCCCCTTTTAGAGACCAGTCCTTACTTAAGGGCATAATCTATGACCTCCTGTCTTAAGGCTGGAAAATTATGGCCTAAAGATGGTAAAAAAAAAAAAAACCAGAGTTTTTTTCTACAGTAGATTGTTGGCATCATCCTATACTTTATGGATGCACAATACAAAGTCTCTAAATAACTGTGTAATAATTTCCATATTGCTAACTCAGGAGGATGGAAGCAGCATGACCGGTACTGAGACAGCTGTTCAAGGAAGTTCAGAGAGCTTCTGCCCACACAACATCCTCCAGTAGCTCCAACAACTCTAAGAGCAATTACTATCTTCATTTCCCAAACTCTAAACAAATGTATCTTATAACACGATTTACTCCCATGGAATCTAGGCAGTTAGATTCGCTCATGTCCTTCAATTAAGAAAGTGTTTTATCCTTTTCCAAACAAAAACGTATCCCTTGATATGAATAAAAATCTCTTGTGTGAGACAATCCTTGAAATCTCCTTAAATGCTGCTTTGGGGCAAAGGGGAAGGATTACATCAAATTTGGCTGGGCTAAAAATGCCTCTGATGGAGTTTTTATTTTTATATTACGTTGGTGGATATTCATTAAAGCAACATCAGCTGCTCATCGTGGGAGATTTTGAATACTTTGGTAACATATGAATAAAGTGTCACTGTAATTCAAAGCTCCTGGTGTATTCAGTAAGAACCTGTCAGGAAAAAATGTATTGCATCAAGTCAGCAGCTACCTAAGATATAGTTGATTATATGCATCTTTAAAATGCAACATTGTTTAATTACCTCGTTAAAAAAAGTTAGGTAAGTTAGGCTGAACAACTCTCCTTTCTTTCTTCCTTTGTAATTGCAGGGATATTTGCAAATCAGGCCTGGACCCTCACCTTCATGCTAACATATCCACACCTTGTAAGATGTCTGGAGGAATGAAAAGATGTCCTAAAAGTTTGAGGAGGACCCACTCGGTACAGATACTGCAGAAGGCAGCCACAGAGCTGTCTTGCAATGGCCAAAAGCGTATCAAGCTTCAACAAAAAGAAAGAGCATCAGATAGATCCTCAGCAAGCAGCACTGCACACTCTCCAGTCAGTCACAAAACAGCCTGAAAAAGCTTCCAAAAATTAAAGACTATCCAAAGCATCAAGACTACCAACATTACACTTGGGGTCTTTCCAGCCTGCAGGACTAGACTGTCCCATAGCCTTAGCCAGATTTAGAGAGTACTGGTCTGCCCACTGATCAAAGAAATCACTGATAGCCTGCTGGGCCTTTGCTGTGGTCATGTTTGGCATTCAAGATGAATTTTGCTAGTGAAAAGAAGAAACTCAATTCACACTTGATTAAAAAAAAAAAAAAACAACATTTCTCAAATAATATGCATGCAAATTCAGTATAGATTACAAACCATGCAATCAATGATTCATTACTCTATCAATACCTACACTTCTGTCAAGACAAGAACATAAAATTCTCTGATCTGTTTTCTAAACATCTTCTCAAGAAAAAAACTTGCCAGTTGCAGGTAGCCAATTACTGCAATTATCTTCCAACAAGTAGCTGGGCAAAACAGGCCATCCGAAGACATCTTGTCACTCATTTGAGTCCTTTATGTAAAACATTACATTGCCTAAAAGCATCTACAGACACGTACACACCCTTTGCATTTCCACCTAATGCCATATGTCTTAAATTTGAGACCTGATCATGCAACCTTTAACAAATCAAAGACTCCCATCTGCTAATGGAGCTACCAATAGAAGTATTTTGGTACAAATTTGCAAAATTAATGGACTCCCAAAATAAATATCACATAGTAGTAAACTGTAAAACATCTAATGTCCTCTTTCTTTTATTTTGGGTGTACACATAATGGAATTATTTTTACCATAAGAATAGTCACATTCATTTGATAACCATTTCCAAAATTCACAGAATAATTCAGGTTGGAAGGGATCTCAGGAATTCTCTACTCTAACCTGCTGCCGAAAGCATATCAGCTATGAGAGATTATACCAGATTTTGATACTTTGCAATGGTCAGTCAAGTTCACGAGTTCCACTGCACAGATTTTTCCTTACATATTTTATAGATAACATAATGAAATACATACAGTAATCATATATCTATGTTATAAGAATGCCAAGCTTTTAAGGAAGGTATATTTCAAAAAACTACAATCCTGAAAAGAAGATGTAAGTATTGGAAAGAAGTACTCTACTTGAGCAAATATCCCTTGCACATGCAGTTTACAAACTCCTTTTGGATACTGGGCTGTTTACATTTGTTTAAAGAATCACCATGGGAAGTAAGAAAACTGCAGTCCTCTTCAAACCAGTCTCTATCATTTCCTATTAATGTCATGCTAACACTTAAATATTTCAGCACTCCACTTAACTATATGTTGAGGTGTTTGTACGTGAAGCCACTGGCTTCAGTCATTACCCTTTTTACAAATTCAGACTAAGCAGATGTTTGCCGCGTAATGTCTCTAGATTATATTGGTGTCCAAGAACACTGTCAGTGTGGCTTTTTCTTCACCATGTTATATTCTTTTCTCTGTACACCCTTTGTGTGTTCTCCTTCCTTGAAAACACCTAAGTTATTCAACCATATTCAACATGTTTAAGTTGGAAAAGTACAGGCAACAGCAGGCAGCCAAATTCAAGTATCAAATTGTGCAGAGAAGGCTGCTTCCTGTAAAAGACTTAAATTACCCAAAAGCAGTACATTATATATATAAAGCACATTTGATACTGCATAGCATCATGCACTGCAATAAATATGAATAATACTGACTAGGTGTTTCTTGGTAGAATCCCCAATCTCAAAGTTCTGATCTAGTTATCTGAGGTATGCAGGTGATTAATCTACTTAATAACTAACCCTTTCAAAAGATTGGGTGAATTTCAATACTCTTGCCAGATACCGTATGCAGCTGGAAAAGATATGACCTTTTCAAGCAATACAGTACTTTCAGTGTAACAGCATACTTGATAAGGAAAATTAGTCTATGGATGACTCACTAGTATTGTACATGTGCCTTGAACAGGTCCATGCAAGCTTCTGCATGGGATAATAAATGAAGGAGAACATAAACAAAAATAAAAAAATTGTTATAAAGTGGTGTGTACACAGGACATGACAACAAACTGGAAGAGGCAAGGGATATAAAAGTTAGAGGGGTCAAACTAGCTTGGAAAAGGGCTGCAGAGGACTCTGCAAGAACATAAATACAGTTCCCTACAGAAGATTGCTTCTTTTCAGGGAAACAAGGTGAAATCAAGTGGCTGAGTACACCTTCACCTCATTTTAGTGGCAAGTCCATCAAGCACAGAAGACAAACAAAAAAGACCTTAGAAAACACTTCTTCCTTTAGAAAAATTACCAAATCATCCCCAGGATATTCCATATCCACTTTACGTGCTTCAGTGAGGTCAGAGCTCTTGAAGGCGGGAAGGCAACGTGTTATATGGCTATGTATAATAACCCACAAACAGCAGAGTTGATAAACTAAGATGCAAAAGCAGATTTTCTTCTACATGCCTCTAAAAAAAGATTTTTCAAAGAATGTGCCATCTAAAATCAAAATTAAAGTAAATATTCTTTAAAAAAGGACAACAGAATAGTTGCTTGTAGGCTTAATTTTTCCAGATGTAACTTTTTGTTAAACGAAAGATTTAGGAGTGGTATACATGTAATACTGTTTCAGATAAGCAGAAGAATATGCATTCAATAGCAAAGTTTTAAGTATCAGCACTGGGTTATGGGTTTCTGTTGTTGTTTTTTTCTAGTTTGCTTTTTTTGACACTCCACTTAGTCAACTCAAACACAGATCACCATGTAAGAAGAATGAGGGTTATTTCCCACTATTCTGCTTGATTATTTTATTTATTTTGGTGTTACAACTATGGGAAAGAAGAGATGAACTGAGCCTCGTATCTACTGCATTTACCTTAACTAACTTTTCATAATTTATTTTCACAAGTTTCACATCGAGATCTAATCTTTTGCATCACGTTTCCTTCCTGCAATTATCTTAATCTTATAACAGCAGTAAAACCCTGTCAAACACCTACTAACTGCCTAACACTTAAACAGAAACTCTATGCATTTCCCACAAATCCCACCTCATCCTTCACCATTCTTGTAGCCTATTTGCTCTATATCCCACCACCAGTTCACAGATATTTTTCTCCAATCTTATTTCCACACTCTCACCATTACAACTCAATAGTATATTTCTTCATCCGCTAAAGTCAAAAGGCAACAGGGCTTACTATGATGCCATCTAATTTCCTCCCTGGACATTACAGTGCATGTAACCTTTACTACAAAATAGGAAAAGGAATTTAATCCTCACACATCAGAAAAGAAGCTCAAGCTGCAAAACTGAAACATGATTTGGAGGCCTGACAAAGCTTTCTAAGGTTGTCAAGACTTAGTTCTAAGTGTTTCAGATGAACTTAAAATGCCCCAGAAGTTAGTTTTCTATTAAGCTATCAAAATAGTAATGCAGACATGGATTCAGGTTGAACTGTATAAGCTTAAAACTAAAGGTTAGGGTCCCATTCAATTAAAATTGCCATATTTTAGTACTGTTAAATAAGAGAAGGCTAAAGTTAGCAATATTACCAGATATATGAATGAGCCAAAGCAGCAGGGGAAACAGGGTACATTCAACTGATAAGTCTCTACTGTGACATTTCAGAATGAAAACCACTTTGCACTTTCTACACCCTTAGTGTCTGCAGGCTGTTCTTACAATCACAGTAGTAAGTGCTAGACATGGCAAGTTCCTACTTTGCTTGGTTACTCTATACTTCCTATATTAACCTGGTAGGACTGGACGTAAACCAAAAGGGCCTTTCGTCGGGGAGATGCCACGGACGATACAGTCGAACAGAAAGCTGATCTGCTCTCCTTCAGCACAAGAAAGGAAAAAAACACCAGCCCCTGCAAAAAAGCACAACATATATATGTGTTTTTCACCTGGATACATTATAAATATGTTTAGCTGAAGCTATTTATAAAACAGCAATCAAAAGATTATTAAGTGCAAGCCATGAAAAGAAATCAACAAGACATGTTTTCCAAAGAAAAGAAATAAAAAGAAAAAATTCAGGTCAACACACACACACTACATCACAAATATACACATAAATTCAATAGCTACCTAATAATTTATGCTAATACTCTGAGATTCAGGCAATTAGAGTAATGCCACAATACAAGCCATATGCTCAACAGCTGTCTGGGTCTTTTATTCTTATTTATCTCCTAAAATTTTGTAGATCAAATCTTAGCTATGCAAGTGTCAGGGATATTTAAAGTGTCTTCATCAAAATGAACCAAGTTAATTCTCCTTTCACCCAAGAGCAGCTTTTTATATACCAATGAATCAGGATTTGGTTATATTACTGGATTATCTTCTAAATTTTCCTAGACTAAGCCGTATGTGCCTATTATTAACAGAACGTAACACAACTCCACAGGTTGTCATCAGATCTTTACCCTTTGCTCTATTCTGATATTTTGCTTTCCATTCATTAAGAATAGCCCCAAGCAAAATTAGAATGAGAATCACTAAATAAACAAACAAGTTCTGAGCTGCATGATATATGGCTATGTGGACGACACAGAGGACTAGAAGTGCTCCACAGAACATTTTATTTGAGAATTCTCAGTCCAAAAATTACTCACATCAGGAAAAAAAAAGTCTAGTTGACCTTTTTGATGATCTTAACACACCAGGCAAAAGACCACCCCAGTAACCAGTGACTTCAGGAAAAAAAAACAAAATAACCAGAAAAAAAAAGGAGCTGAAATTAGTTCATAGACCCTGAAGAAGTGCTGCCAGTTCACCAGAGCCCTGCATGCTAGAAAACCACAATACCAAAGCTTAGATCTGCAGTAGGGTTTTGCATGTTACTTTCCTAGGGACTTGGGCCCCTAATCTGGACATAAGTTTGACTTCCGCATGTCTCTACACAATTCTGAGTTGCATATATATTTTTTGCTAATTTTACTTCAAGCAGCAGAGCTGGTCTTGACCAGAAAGCCAGCATCCATAGCACTTTCCACATGTCATGTGTGCCATATGCCATGTCACATGCAACAGGATATGCAATGGATGCACTTTTGACTGCTTGAGAAAGAGCTATGGGATTCAAAGAAAGGGGATAATAAAGACTGGATCACAAACAAAATTAACTATTTTAGTAAATTTGATATTGCCAGCAAGCAGTAAACTGACCACTCTAGGAAAAGCATATTCTGGTCCACACTCTTCTGTCATTCTCAATTTGTGTCACATCTAAATCTTGGCCTGCTCTGCTTAAATCTATTCAAGACAATATTGTTAGTAGCACCTTCATAACTTGATTTGTCACTCCACCACATTTGTTCCCCTTTAGATCTTACTGATCAAAACTTCTGCAGCCAAAGGAACAGAAATCCTGTTCCTGGTACCGTTGAACTGCTATAAATTCTACTGGAATTAGAATTCACTCATTGGTAGAAGTTAAATTTATACTCAAAGGCTGGCCTGCCAATCATTTCCTGAGTACAGAGTCTCAAATATATTGAGACTCAGGATAGACAAACATTAAAACACTAAGCTATGTTTAAGCAACTGAAAAGATGAACACACACTAGCTCACGAAACTAAGAAGATAGTCTACCTAATTCCACACATCTGTGGTATTCTTTTCTATCATTTTTTAAAAACAAGTTTGTCCCAAGTTTTCTTTACGGCACATATACATACCCTGGCTTCTGTATCAAAGACCACCTAGGCAATTATAACACTAATCACGCGGTCTGACAGGTATGAAAGTTTCTGGTGGTGACTCACTCACAGTCTTGTTGCATTTCCCCTGCCCAGGAGATTCCAAAGAGCCAGAGAACACTATATTAGAAAGAACTGGGTGCAAAGTATGTATTCAGGAGGTATCTTAAATTTAGGTCTTCCTTTGAGCTGTCTTCTCCTCCCCCCATGGAGTAAATGCTGTACAGGAAAATCAGTTTGCCTAATCCGGGATGGTATGACACTTTCCTCATGAACCACACTGGCCTCAGAAGACATGTCCTTCTTGAGGAAGCAAGAGAGCACAAGGCTTTGCTGGGCTCTGAACACATGGCCTTCCCATTCCATGCACAATAAGCAAGCAGGACATGGAGACAACATAACAGAGGACATTCATATCACAAGCACAGTGATGGATTACGTGGCTGGATAATTCAGCAGGATCCCACACATCCATGTTGTCATTCAGGAAAAGATGATTCCTCACATATTTCTGTACAGAAAGAATATATCCAGACCACTTCATTCTTTTATCACTATTGTCAAGAGTCTTAAACTCCTAAAAGGCTTTACAAGCCTTTGACTTTAATAGAAACAAAAAAAGTAAATGTGTGCACGTGAGCTGACTGCTTAACTCAAAGGATGATTTCTGCAAAGAACTATCACACATTTGGAAATGCCCGAAAACAAATGTGACAGCCTTTATATAACTAGTACTAACAGTGTATGCAGATGTGCATGTAGATACAAATCCAATACACATGTGTAAAATACTTCTCTGTAGATTCTATTATTCACTTGATCACTGTAATTGCCAATTGACTCTCACAGGAAATGTTTTCCTTTTTTTGCTATGCAGAACTAGATTGCAAGGAAAGGAAGCAGTGTAAGGATCCTTGCAAAATGCATCAGGTGAGTTGAATGAATAGGTAAGGCTTAACTAAATTATGTTTTAAAAGTATACATAAAAGCCAGCAATTGCAGTTCTTTTCTGCTTTCTTGAGAAAGCCGAGAAATTCGCTACTAGAAATTACACATCTCAGTCATGTACTGGAACAGATTTGGTGCACAAGCATTTGGAAGCTGAGGAATATGTGGTATGCATCACTGTAATACCATGCAGCTGTTTAGTAGACTAAAGAGCTCACTCGCTCACTCACTCTCTCCATGTGGTAAGAGTCTTGGTGAAAAGCATCCTGCAACCGCTTGCACGAAGCTGAAACACTAAACCAGTCCTCTGTGGCAGTTGGCAGCAAAGCATTGTACAGTCTCACGAGCATTCAAGAGAAGCTGTCAACTTCATAAAACTTCCAACTTTTATTAAATCTTGCTAATGTTTGATTTTTAGTTCATCATATTAAAAAAGCAAACCCATGAGCAAACACATCCTGAAAAAGCACAGTAATGAAAAATTACTTAAATCTCTGTACTGTGTGTGAAAGCAAGCAGAAAGAGTCAGTCCTGTCCCATGAATTATTACTCCTTAGAGGTGCCAGACAATGCCAGAACCTGAAGTATTTTAGCTACAGGACAGGTACAAACCCTGGCAGTTCAGCTCATGTTGTCCAACTAGTACATCTCAATCCTGGCCTTGAGCAACGCCCTTTAGAAGGTATCTCAGGCTGCTTGTCTCTGGTGAAAATGACACCCTCTGAGCAAACCTCTCAATTGACTCCTAGGCCCAGATGCCTTTTGTTTTTTTGAAAATGGTATGTGTCATTTATCTTCAGCTACAGAGAGGCTGGGAAGAGGGGGAGCCAAATTTTGCCCCAAAGGTGAACTTGTTTGCAGCTGGGAGAAGCACAAGAAAGGATTTTCTAATCTCTAGCAGTACAATTGTGATGTTAAATGCAACAGAAGAGCAAGAGGAAATGTTCTTTTTCCTATTAAGAATAGACTGGTGTTATCTGTCTTGAAAGTGTACCTAGATTTAATTTTTGAAATTTCTGGTGTTTTCCCTCTACCTGGATTGAGCACCAAAGCCTTCAGTGTTGAACAAAACCTGTACTGAGCAACGAATTCAAAAAACGTAATTAAGTACTTTATACATATGAAAAAAATTGTGAGGAAGTAAGGAACAGAAAGTTAGAACAGATTCAGAACATTTTAGACTTCATTTCTACCTCCTTTATCTTACAGGGACAATAACCAGCGGAGTTTAACCTAGCAAAAGTGACAGAAAATATAAATAAATGCTCTATAAATATTTAGGGAGGTAAACATCATGGAGAGAAGGAGGGAGAGAGAACATTATGCTAAAGGACAAGGTAGGTACAACAGCAATCTAGGATAAAAAGACCACATAAATTTAGAATGAAAATTTTTAAAAATATTAAAAATATCACAGGTATAAAAGGATCTACAGAACTCAAGACTGCATTTTAAGCCACTGTTCTTGCAGTGGGCACCAAACACTTCTCAGGAGGAAAGCAAACATTTGAAGCCCTACAGGCTGAAGGGAGACAGGAACCCAGGTTTCCCACTGTAGAAGTATGGCAAGCAGAACAGACATGCAAAGCAATGCTACCACCACTTAATCTTTTCTAGTGATATTTCAGAGTGTCCTCTCTAGTTAGGCAACACACTTGGAAAAAGATTCCAGTTTTTAACTGCTTACCTAGGGAACCATAACATCTTCACCTCACATTTCCTAGAATCAGTCTGCAGGAGCAGACTTTGGCCTTTTCAGGAATTTACTTGGCAGAACCCCATGTGACAGTCTTGGTGAGAAGTGGGATCCAGGAAAGCTGGCTGATTTTCAAGGTTCGCTTCCCACCAGTTCAAGCCAAGCAAGTCTGGCAGGAAAGCCTGTATGGATGAACATGGAACTCCACACAAAACTCAAACATAAAAAGGAAGTATATATGGGGTAGAAGTAAGGTGATGAAGACAATGCAGGAAGAATACAGACACACCATACAAGTACACAGGAATACGGTTAGGAAAGCCTAACCGTAATTGAAACTTAATCTGGGGAGGGATATTGAAGGCAATAAGAAGGGCTTCTGCAAGTACATCAACAGCAAAAGAAAAACTAGAGAAAACTTCAGCCTACTGCTGAATGGGACAAGGGACCAGTTGACAAAGAACATGAAAAAGGCTGAGGCACTCAAGGTCTTTTTCACCTTGGTCTTTACTGACAAGATTCAATTCTGCTATCAGGAAGCCCAGGCCCTCAAGACTTGTGGGAAAATCTAGAAAAACAACTTTTTCTTGGTGGAAGAGAACCAGGTTAAGGAACATTTAAACAACCTGAACATACTCAAGCCCATGGGGCCTTATGGAATGCATTCACAGGTGCTACAGGAGCTGGTTAGTGAAATTAGAAGGACAGTCTTTATTACCTTTGAAAGGTCATGGAGATTGAGGGGTGGAAAGGTGTTCCTGAGGGCTGGGGGAAAAACAAAGCAGACATGACTTCTATCTTCAAGAAGGAGAATTCAGGAAATCACAGACCAAGGAAGGTTATGGCTTCTAGGATTGCTTGCACTATTTCCAGGATGCTGATTGGGAGTAGTCAGTATGGATTTACAGGAGGGAAATAGTGCCTAACCAATCTCATAGTCATTGATAAAGTGATAAAGCTTAGTGGATGAAGCAGTAGATATTGTTTGCTTTTATTTTAGCAAGGATTCAGCACCATCTCCTATAATACATTCATTGACAAACTGATCAAGTACAGACTAGGTAAGTGAACAGTGAGGTGGACTGAAAACTGGCTGAACTGCCAGGCAGAAGGGGTTACAATCAGCAGCACAAGGTCCAGCTGGAGGCCAGTCACTACTAGTGTATGCAAGGGGTCAATGTTGGACCTAGTGCTGTTTAACATCTTCATTAATGGCCTGGATGTTGGGACAGAGTGCACCCTCAGAGAGTTTGCAGAAGATACAAAATTGGGAGGAGCACCTGATACACCTGAATATGGGAAGAAGCTGCTCCCAGAGATCGTGGAGTGACCATCCTTGGACATATGCAAAACCTGACTGGATGTGGTCCTGGGCAAACTGCTACAGCTGACCCTGCCTTGAGTAGGGGATTTTGACAAGGTAATCTCCAGAAGTCCTTCCCACCTTCAAACATTCTGTGATATCTAGGCATTTGTGACATCCAAACTGTAAGTTTCTTTCTGATATCATTCTAAAGAAAAAAAAAAAATTGGCTTCTTACTATACTGTAGAAACTTAATAATTAACATTCTATAATGCTGTTGCATAACAGTATCAGCAGTGTTTCATCAACACTTTAATAACAAAACTACTATGGCAAATTCTCTGTACTAAAGCACCACTGATCTTCCAAAATAAGTTACAGCATTCATTTATATTATCAATCAACTAAGTAAAAATTGACAGAAAGTTATTAAGATTTTTGTTCATTTACTTGCTAGCTTTCAAAATTCAAGCATTAGCATGAACTGGTGATGTTCTATATATTAAAGCATAGTATTTTCTTCTAAATCAATTAACAGTAACTATTCCTATTATATTAGTAATGTTATAATATGTTAGCATTTACTACAAAACCAAATTAAGAATAAAAAGACCAAAACTGTTATTTCCTAAACACTGCAATGAAAGTGAATTGCACACACTGAGGCAGTCTATATTCACCATACCAGCTACTGAACACTTCTTGTATCACAAAAAAATGTCATATTACTGGTCTGATTTTATTTGGGGAAATATGCAACTTTAACAACATAACATAAGCAATACATAGAACTGTAGGGTGCTATACTAGTAATCTAATACATTCCATTCCAATCATAAATACAGATCATAACAGTACATAGTCAATAATATAAATCCATTTCATTACAAAGCAATTAAGAGAACAGATAGGTTTTATTAAGCACAATAGTTTAGGATTCAGTATGTTAGCTAGATCCTACTGAAACATACCTTCATTCTTCACTCTTATATCTTAAGTGTGTTGTTGCTCAACTCTTGCGAGTTAGATTACCTCAAAAGAGTGCTTGTAGAGATGCTATATTCAAATTTCTGGACACGGACAATCCTCTAACAGCAATTATTAAATGGATGAATGCAAAATTTAGACAAGCCATACACCTGAGGAGCATATATATTGCATGCCTCAAAGCAACACTCTACAGGGCTTTCTAGAAAGCTGTGGTGGAGATGCCTTCAGACAGACAAAAATCCAGCAAGGAGACTGGCTCAGCCAGTAAATTTCTTGCTACTTACCTCCTGCAGACCATATTTTTTGCTCATCTGCAGAGCTCATAAGGCCACGCAGATTACTAATGTAATATCAATGGTCCCTACATACTTGGGGAATCTTTCCAGGAAACAAGGTCTTGTACTAAACACTAGATACACTTCTTTATTCATCCATCATTCCTAACAGCACCGTGTTTAGAAATCCAGCTTCATCCTGTGCACCTCCTTGCTGCAAGAGAGGGGGGAAAAGGTGGCTGTGCTGACTCCCCCTTATACTCTATAACCATTTATCTATCTCACAGTCTAAACCACACCACTAGGAAATAAGACACTGGTTGCAGTCCCATACCAGTTTTTAAGTGAAACAGAATAACCTTAAAAGAAAACAGATGTGTTTCCTCACAGGCTACACCTGTAACCCAGTCCTTCAGATGCTGGAAAACCCTTTATAATCCCAATTTCTGAATTATGCAGTAAGAGATCTGAACCAGAATCTTCCACACTAAAAATAAGTGTCAGGAATCAGGATATAACAGTTGAGTCCATATTACCATCTTTGTAACTCAGCTCTATACTTTTCAATAGACAAAACAGTCAAAATGATTTCTTTTGCCTTCCTCCCCAGATTTTGCCAAAAGTCCAAAGGAAGACTAACTTTGGATTTGGATCAACTCTGAAACTGTCTATTTTTTCAGTTTGGTAATGGAAGAAATCCATTATTTTCATATTTCAGTATGCAAGTCAAACCACATCCAAACCAGCACTCTGCATACCCGCTTGCACTCACAGATCATCAACTCAACATGGCTTCACAGCTTTTGAAGTCAAAACCTTACCTTTTCTAATTATGTATATGGTATTATGCCAGTGCATTAATTATCTTCCCTTTTCAGCTCTCGTGTAGGATCTTTGTATTTAGTCTGACTGGAGAATGTGAGAAGTCCTAAACTGGCCATTGGAACAAGAGATTTTTCCCCCTCTAATAGGGTATCTTAGCTACTAGGCTACAGAAACGAGCTTCAACTTGCCTGCTTGCTTGCATTTTGACCTCAAGAATCTCATGGTCCCATAAAGTGACAAAGCTGCTAACAGGGAAGGGAACAGAGAGAAGTTCCTAACTTTTAGGAGCTAGAAGACTTCTACAGGATCTAGACATCCACATTTACACAATGATAGCCTTGGTGCCACCTGTAACCTCAAAACTCTAATTTTCCTTCTGCAAACAATAAAATAATTAATCATAATTTAATAATCTGACCATTAAACCATGTTTCCTTATCTCTCGCATGACACAAGCCATAAGATTTCATTACCTTACTTTCTTTGTATCCAATAGCAACACTTAACTAAACATTGCCACAGGGCAATGTTAAGTCAGGACCCCACACAGTCACATTTTTGCTGAACACCAGGGTTGAAGCCTGCAGAAGTCTACTCAGTAGAACAGACCCTCTGATATGAGGCTGCCCGTATGACAAAGCAGCACAGCTGGTTCTGCAAAATCCACTTGGAATGAGACTCACATGTACATTTTTACAGAAGGTTTCATACAACTTTTAGAAGACAGGTTCCATTTGTACTTACAGAAGCCGCACCTGGTACCCCCTTCAAAGATGAATCCATTTGGGACAGCTCCATACCGACGCAGATCTGAGAGCTTCCATTGCCCCATGACACTAGGAGGAAGGTCTTTTGCAAGGACGAGAATGTCATTGCAGAAATGCAGGGTAGCAGGCCCACTCTCCAATTTAGTGCCAGGTGCTACAAAAACTTGAAACCTATGAACTATCAGATAAGGAAAAAAAAAAATTACTATAGAAAATAGAAGTAAGGTACCACAACTTGGTGCAACTTAAGTCTATCTGTTCAGCTGTGGTATGTGGACTGACCCCCTGCCCACACCATGCGGCCCTAGCATAAAGATTCTAAGTAGAGCCCAGACAGCCCCATCTGAGTAGCTATAAGGTCCTTACTCTTAACTACACCAGTGTAGAATTGGAGAAAAAAAAACAAACAAAACCCACTGTCTTGGCTTAACGCTACAAATTATTAAATTGTAACACTACATTAATTTAGCCTAAATCTTCCAGGCTAATCCTTATCTCAAATTCGTCAGTTAGCCAGCCCACACTTTAGTTACCTCTTCCATCACTAACGGGTTTGTTTCTTTTTCCTCTTCTAAACAGCCTGTGCCTCTCCTTTCCTACATGCATGCACACACACACATAACACAGTGCCCAAGGAGCCCAAAAGCCAAGGCTCAAAAAAAGTAGGCAAGTTCTAACCAGAGCTCTGTCACTGACTCATTTGCAACCTTGAATAAGCAGCTTCACTCCTTCCTTCACAGTAAGACCAGGAAAATTACATTTTCCCACCTTTGTGAATCTGTGAATTGAGTGTTAGCGATGGTAGATGTCCAGACATTTAAAATGACTAGGAAATTAAGTGATTCATAGCTTATAAACACTCTTGAATGTCAGTTAATTCTTCATATTTCACAGCCTAAAATTCAAAAGAGTAGGGGGGAAAAACCAAAACACCTGACTCGTTCAAGTTTACAAAATTCAAGTTCAAATCCCAACTCCAGTATCCCATACGTTACAAGGGTCCTTACCTAAAATAGCAGCTGTTCTAGGCCAGTCTCCCATCTCCTCCAGAGCTGTTGCATTCTGAATAATAAGTTATTGGGAGCACTTCAAGGGCTTAAATCTCACAGTGTTTCAAAGGGAGCAATTTAAGTGAGCAAGCACCTAATTTTCAAACAACTGTTTTGACCTCCACTACTCCTCTAGTTTATTTCATCTTGTGATTAGCCAAAAAAACAACAACATATATATGTGTGTATATATATATATATATAAGTGTGTGTATATATATCTATCTATCTGTCTTGGCACAGAGAAGCATCAGTGCTATTACATTTCCAACAAAATCTTTTGGTGGAACATTTATAAAAAACTAGATAGATTTAGTTTTTGGTGATCCATCAGAAATCATACAAACAGCTACCAGCCTATGAAATCTACAGGGTAACTTTCAGGTAGTCTCACTTCTTACAAACACTCTTCCCTGTTTCTTGCCTATGTTTCTTCAAGCATCATAAATGTCAGCTAGGTCTGAGTCTTGCATCTCATCTAAATAACTTGCTATATTCTTAGTTACCATCCAAGCTGTAAGTCAACTCCTTATCTGTGACGTGCATTTGGTAAGTTCCCTAAGGCTTCAGCAGAATTAGCCACAAAGTCATTTGAGTGAAATGTGCAAAGAGACAGAGATAGCTCTAACCACAGCTCTACTTGCAGCTTTGCCAGTAGTACTGCTATGGAGCAGATCAACAGTCACACAATATCCCTTTTGGGGCATGCAGTTATTACCCAACCTGCTTAAACGTAAGCTATGAAAAATATACAAAAACCATCTGGATTAATAACATTCAGTAAGGAATCTTTAAAATCATTTGGATCCCTCTGCCCAGTACTTGGCTGGCAATTAAACTATGGGAGCAGAAGCATTAGGGTTCTTTCTGCCTCATTAAATAAGGAATGGAGCACACTCTTCACACAATCAGTTGCAAGTTACAACAGCTGCCAAAAACAAAGAGCTGCATTTCAGATTCTAAACCATTGCTAAAAAGAAAAAAAGAAAAGAGAAAAAACACACACACAAAAAAAAAAAAACCCAGCATATTCAAATATGAACAAAGCCAAAATAGAGGAATCTGGACATAAAGATTTTGCCATATGCTACTTTCTTGATAAATTGGAATTTTTTTTTCAAAATTCTCCCCAGCCATTTACTTCTACTCTGAAAAACAAAAATTAATAAGATACAGAGCTGAATATAGCTAGGAATAAATGGTACTACTTAATCCCTCATTTTCTTTAGCTACCCTTTTCCTCTTCATAGCTATTCACTGACCTGCAGTATGCTAACTTCCTCAGAATGAGTTGTGGGCTCAAGCATTCTTCTTGTACCTGACCTACACCTCAACTCACTTAATTCCACTGTTTTCTCTAATCCTTGTTCTTTTATTCCAGGACTAACATCCACCTCACCTGCTAAAAAATGGAGAGAAAACACTCAAAACTCCAGTGCAAACACCTCTATTCTGTGGTCCTCATTCAAGAGCAGCATCAACTCCTTTCACTTTTTTTTTTGCTTCCCAGACTCTGAGGTCATCTGTCCATAGTCTATTTTTATCATCCAGCCACCGTACTTCCAAGGAGCACAAAGGCACCCTTGCTATGCTTTAAGGAAAAACACCAGTCACCGTCGTCTCTTCATCTAAGTCTCTGCTCTTTTCTATTTCTGTCTATTCAAACTAGATACACTTTAATTTGACTTCTTTCTCCTAACTAAACTAGTGCTGAAAGATAAATTCCTGAAAAAAAAATTCTGTACTCTGATCTATTGTCCTTCCTCTAAGCTTTTTTGCAATTAATGTTCTCCAAATTATTGCCATTTCAATCAATTATACTTGTTTTCTTACTTCTTTATTTCTTCACCTCCACACACATTCTCTCCTGCTCTGTCTTCACTCCATGGCTGCAAATATCACCATCCGATGGGCTCTATTCCTACTACACTCACAGCTTCCCCTTAAAAATACGCTGCTTCTGCATTTCCTCCTATCAGAACCATAAGCCCCACACCCAGATTGAGACTGAATGCTCTCTCCATCCAGGCCCTGCATCAGTGCAAGATTGTGAAAACCAGACGCACTGTCAAATTCAAATTGTCCTTCAGGTTTTAGGACAAGTCTATGCTGTATGTAGATCCCAAATCTAGTAAAGAAATAGAACCAGAATACAGCTACATCAAAGTGTATCAACTACTCCCAATACTCATGCACGTATCGTTCAGAAACCCCCTCCAACCCTTCCCCTTATTCAAGGCTTCATATTTGATAGCTCCAAGTGGTGCATCCATACATCTCTCTCCTGATACTTCTACATTTTATTACTGTACAACTCCCAGGCGATCTCTCTATGCATGTACTGCACAGGAACGAGTCCACAAACGCAACAGATGGCAAAGCATATGTAAGAAATGGTTAAGATGGCTAATGTGTGTCTCCCACACACCTACCCTCCTTCCCTAGTTATGACTAAACAAACATAAGACAGATACTATGGATTACCAATATTATCACTCTTTGTTCACCACTGTACATTTTAGAGCTGCTAACGAAGAAAAAAAAAAGATGTATAAGAGTGAAGTTAGCTGAAACAGCTGTGCCTGGTGACACTCCTTATTGCAAGATGTCTCTTCATGAAAGGGGACACTAGCAGCAAGAAGCATTATCAGTGCAATATCTAATAGCCAGCTCAGAATACTAGGATTAAACTAGCCAAGTAGAACTTGCTGGGATTTGCAGGACTCTGCTTCTCTGAATTCAGGCTCTCTCTGAATCCTGTTAAAATCCCCAGGTAAATCGCAGGACCATAAGTAGAACTCTGATCACCTTGCTTCAAAGCTACACACTTTCGGTGCAAAAATCAAAAACTAAGTTAAGAGCTGTCATAGTTAGCTGTCAGTACTGGGGTAGTACTGTAATCAAAACCTACCATAAGGGACACCTGCTTTAAGAGGTAAGGGGAAGAGCAGTCTCTTCACTCTCAAATGACTGACAGTCCTTTCCTTAACTGTACTTTGTTGGTTTTTTTTTATCCATGCTTTTCTTTGGGTTCCTCCCCCTGCCTCTGCCCCCCCCGCTGCCCAAAAAAAAGTTATTAAAAAAAAAAAAAAAAGAGAAGACAAAGGTTACCTTCCCCCAAACTGTAGCGGATTCGTACATCCCACGCATACATTGTTTCCTTGTTCTCAAAGCCCAGCATCACAACTTGAGAGAGGCAGATGATTGCAAGTGTGTGATTCAAGCCCTCATAGGAGAGCCCAGGATCCAAGCCACAGATGTCTTCTAAGGTCATGCTGCTCCTCTCCTTATGCCCTTTTGCTCGTTCAGATTTATCCTTGTACACCAGCATGAGCAAACAGTCTAAAAGAAGCAAAACTGTCAGAGACGATGAGGCAGAGCAGAACACAACACATTTCTCACTGCTTTGCTTCAATTCAAAGGTGTTTTAGACAACTGCAGGGTCAGTCTGACCGAGTCAATGCAAGAATTCAGTTTCCTTTTCCCACCCCACCCCCAGCTAGTTTGCAGTCCTTGTTTTCAGGGAAGAAACACTGAAGGCATGGTTCAAGGGTAACCTGCAGGCTCAGAAATAAGGAAGCAAGTAAAACGTCTTCCCTATTTTACTTTTCAAAGTTTTTCAGATACTCTCCCAAGTCTGGAACGAGCTGACTCATTAATTCTGAGCATTAGGAGTTACGCTACGATAGCTGTTCGCATTACAAACGCTAAAGACCGAGAGGCTATTGTCATCTATATTTCCATTAGAACATACTGAACCACAAATGAAATTCTTACAGTAGTTCACAGATTACTCAACTACTAAATGGTGAGCGGACTGCACTGCCAGATTGTTAGCGTCAGCTCAGGTTTCCCAGTTAAATGTTACACAGTAGCCATTGCTAAATAATCATTAAGTGCAGCACCCCTTTTTTTTTTTCTTTTCCTTAAATACTTGCTTGTGTCGCCATCTGTTTTTAACCCCTTCCTAGAGGTGTTTATGACACCGCAACTATGCAGCAGAAGAAAGGAATTCAAGTGCTACGGACCCATGGGAAAAGCACATTTCACAAGCCAACCCAAAGGACAAGGGAAGAAGAAAAAAAAAAAATGGAAAAAAAAAAAAAGAGGGAGAGCCCTCTCCCACCTTTCACATTCTTTACAAGAACACTCCTCTTCCCGCAGCTTCCCTTCCTACCACACACCACTCAGCTGTAAATGACATTAATGGTCAACATCACAGCTCCAACACCCCCAGCTGCAGCTGGCCTGCACAGCACAAAGGAGAAAGCCCCCCGTGTGCCATTGCCTGGCTGTTGGGGTGCGATGCCCCGAGCCCTGGCCAGGTGCCCTGTAGCTCTGAGCTGGGCAAGGGACTGGCCCATCTCCAAAGAGGTGAAAAATGACTTGAAAGATTGAACCGGCTGCTAAGCAAAAGCCCAGCTTTGGGTGGAATCCCAATTGTTTTCGTGCACCTGTCAGCAAAAACAGCTGCAACTGCGATATTCAGGCATTCTGCAATACAGTTGTGTGGCTGAAGAAAGAGCTACTGTGGTTTGCAGACCAAGAAAAGCAAATAACTGGGGGCTTTGTCTGGTAAGCCTGGCTAATTTTGCTAGAATGAAAATACTATTTTGGAGGAATAAGGCATGTTAGCAGTCAGTAAGTTTTCAAAGCAAGCTCCTTCATCTTCCCCCTTCAAACCTGGCTTACTCACGTTAGAAATCCAGGCCCATATTCACATGTCTAGATAACAGCACTGGGAATCAACAGATGCCCAAGGCAGAGAAGTTTAACAGATGCAGCCAATATATAGACATTTAAGACACTGGCACATAACTGTAACAACTCAAGTAACAAACAGTTAGGTCTGACGAGCTTCAATTAATAACAAACCTTCAGTCTACCAGCAACAACCTAGGAAAGGTGCCATAATCCATTCCACAGCAAGGCAGATTCACATTGTCTAAGCATAGACAACATTTACCCCTGGAAAGATACACTTTCGGGCCCAAATGTTTTCTCCCTGTTAGGAAACGATGGGGAAACCTGAAACCTACTTTCCCTTCTCCAGCAGTAAAACATCAACTCTGAATAACATTTTCAATTTCCCCTTCAGAAGCAGGGAAATGATTTTTTTTTTTTCCTTTTAATTCAAAATGTTATTTTATTTTTAAATCAAAGTGATAATTTATGTCAAAACAAGGCTCAAAAATAACTACTGAGCTTACAATGCCAGCTTTTTTTTACAGCCACCAATCACCCTGAAGAAATAATTTTAAAAGAAAAGAAACGAAAAAAAAAAAAAAAAAAGAAATTGCATTTGGAATGGGAAGCAAAACCAAATCGCTGTGCTTTGAAAAGTCACCTTTCCCATTGGTTTTAGCCTGATATTAAGCTGCTTGAACCCCTCGCTCCGGGGCAGAGCTGACAGCCCGACGGACGAACGCTGCCCCCGGGCTCCGGCCCGAGGGTCCCGGCGTCACGGCCCGGGCTGCCCCCATCCCTCCGGGGGGAGACGGGCCTACAGCCGCCCCCGACCGCCGCCTCCCCAAGGGAGAAAGCCGTCCCCAGCCCTTCGGGGCGAAAGGAGGCGAAGCTCCGCGGAGAAGAGCCCCCGCAGCTCTTCTCCGCCCCCATTGCACTTCGGGGGGCTCCGACAACAGCCGCCCCCGCCTGTTTTTGGTCGTCAGATAATTAATTTCCCCCTCCCCCGATTAAAAAACAAGGAGGAAAGTGCAGCGACGGCTTGAGGGGAGCCCCACCGAGGGCGATCTCCGGCGGCAGCCGACCCCGAGGGGAGGGAGCCCCGTCAGTTCCCTGCCCCGGGACCCCAAACCCTGTCCCCCCAGCACCGGGCGGGGGAGAGCGGGACGCCCCCGGCACCGGTCTCCCCCCAACATGGACGGGCCCCCTCTTACCTGCCACCGGGGAGGGCTTGCGCAGCACCAGCCACCTATTCTTCCACTGCAACGAGAAGCAAAGGGAGAGGGTTAGCCGGGGCCGGAGGAGGGAAGAACGGGCTCTCTCCCCTCCTGGGGAGGGGGGTTGTTGGTTGGGGACCCCCGGCCCCGGCCCGCTACGGGGCCGAGCCGAAGGGGCGCCGGGAGCAGGGACCTTTTTTCCATCTCTCAACTTGACGTGACCCTCCACCACCACGGAATCCGTCATCTTCAGTCATGATTCCGGACAGCTGCGCCCGCCTGGCCGCTCCCTCCCCGCGCTCCGGCCGAGGGGTCACTTTCAAAATAGCTTTATTAGGGCCCCGCACAGGCACAGCGAGACGGACGGACGGGCGGGCGGCCAGCGCGGCACGGCCCTCCCCGGTGCCCCCCGCCCCGACGGGCAGGGGACGGGCTGAGGGGCTGGCGGCTCCGGCGGAGGGCAAAGGGGGTCCCGGGAAGCCTCCTCACTCTTTATTCACGTAATTTATGGTGGTGTTAGGCGGGGTTTTTTATTATTATTATTACTATTACTACTATTATTACTATTATTATTGTTTTCTCCAGGGTTGCGGCAGCGGGCGTTGCGACCCCGGGGCAACCGGAGGGCGACGGCAGCCGCTTTTCCTCCGGCCGCCCCCCCGAGCGCCGCCCCGCTCCGCTTCCCACTCCGGGCTTTGCAGGTGACCTCCGCGGCCCGGGGCGGAGGGAAAGCCCGGAGCGGATCTCCTTGGCCCGCTGGCTCCGCGGAGCGGGGCCTGTCCGAAACACCCCCCGACCGGCGGCTTCCTTGCAACGCCCAGATTTCTCCCTCAAAAACTGTAATTAGCGCTCTCCTTGGCTCCCAGAAGACGTACACCCAACTACCCCGGATAAAAATACTCTTTTTTTTTTTTTTTTTTTCCCTTTGCAACCCAACTGTCACGAGATAACAACCCACTTACACCAAACCCAGAGCAGCTACAATTAATAGAATAAGATATGTTAATGATGTCCTCAGATTTATTTCAGCGAGCAATGGACTAATTAGAGTCCATTATTCTAAAAATACTCCTACTGCATCTTATTTGATGGTAATTAGTTCTTCAGCTTTTTTTAAACAGCACCACAGCACATTTTTCTTTCAATAGCATAATAGAAGGGTTTTTTAGATGTTTGCATTTATTTCTTCCTTTTGAATCGGACAGTTTGCATGGAAGAACATATAATTTAATAAAACCATCTTTTAAGTGTGTTTCATAATGAATTAGGGATGTGTTTGTTCAACTGGCTTTGCATTCTAATTCCAGATGAATGTTAGGAAAAATATCAGATAAAATTTTGCTAGTAAATTTAAGTCGGATTTTCATTTTAACCCAAGAGATAAGCACTTAAGGAAAGGAGAAAAACATGGAGGACAGGTTTCCACAGGGTAATGCTCAGCAGGAATGCAGAAGGTGCTGGAGCACCCCATAGGAATGTGACAAATCTCAGGTGTGAGAGGTTTGGCAAGGACCTCTTGCTTAACCTGGACATGCCCTTGCCACCCCTAGGTTGGGTTTGTGGATCTAATACAGGTCATCACACAGCAAATCCTCAAATGATGACATTTAGTTCCACCAAATCAATGCAGTGACAATAGACAAATGGGCTGCTTTGAAAGCCACAAATTCATTTTGGTGCATTCAAGGTATGACAATATTGACTGAAAATTTGTCATTTAGACCTTTGAGGGCAGAGAATAGACTGCTTCACTTGTAAACATTCAATGTATTAAAAAAAGAGATATATTATTGATTGTATTGGTTTTGCCATATGCTGATATAAACAGCATACATTTTGAAAACAGGACAGCTAAAAAGATCTACACAAATTGTCAGAGACACCAGTCTAACACCTTTCCTATCAAACAGCCACTTTCTTTGCAGCAAAAGGAGACTGAGAAAAGAAGAATATAACAGAAAACTAGCAGATTTAAAAGCATGCACAGTGTGGATGAATATTAATTTCAAAGTGAAACTGAAGTCACAGAACAGATCTGGACATTCAGGATGCCATAAGCTTTGTGCGGGAACCTGTTCCAGATGAATCCCTTCCAAAGAAGAGTAAATAGTTCCTTCATGCTGATTTAGTACTTGTCTTTCAGCAGCAGGTACAGTCAGTCTTGTTACTCCGTGCATTCCTTTCGCAGAGTTAAGCAAGCCAGACTCGTACTGCAAATGGCCAGGAAGGCAAACCCCAGCAACAAGAGGCTTCAGTTTGTTTTGGAATCAGACCCCAGAGGTGGATCCCCAGTTTTTCAAGCTAGCGTTTAGTGCTTCAGAAAAAAACAAACTAAAGACTTTGATCTCAGTATTCACAGTATTTGTAAATGAAAATCACATCTAAGCTCTTACATCTGTCCACTGGAAGTTTTGTGCAACACTTGCATAAAACTGGGAGCACCACCAGCTGAAATTGAACCTTACGTGGAGCTTTTCAGATGCCTTCCAACACACAGAAGTGTTATTTCATTTTTCTACCAGCTCTCAACCTGTTGAACAGCCTACAGAGTGGTTCAAAGATTTAAATGTAACTTCATACATTACAGACTAAGTCCAAGAAACAGAGGATAAACATTTTTATTAAACAGTTTACATCATTTATCTAGATTAGCATTGTTATATATATTTACTTACACAAATTCATGTTTTGGTTATTTTTCCTTACAAAGTTTCTTTTAACTGCTGAAATCATTCACCACAGCTAAGAAACCCATGAAGACACTGCCAGTGCTACAAAACAAAACACACATCTAAGTATCCAGGCACCACATTAAAATTCTGTATCTTAAAGTATAGCTTTGCTTGAAACACTTAAGAGAATTCAAAAACATACGCTATCAGAGAAGAGATACATTTCACATCAATACTTATAAAAGTACACATCTGACATGGCTAAAGGTTCCCTGTATTAAAAAAAAATAAATGTATATATGTAACTTTCTGTTCTTCTTTATCAGACCAGATTATTTTTTGTTGAATCATTTTCTGCTTACACAGCTGAGTCCACCGCCTCTACACAGCTATATATTGTAATAATCTTTGATTGTTCCCATAACAGTTCCATAGAACATGACAGCAAAGCCTGTGGTTTATGATATCACCAAACCCCCAAGGAGAATGTCAAGCCGCTCCCCAAGCCATCCAGTTTAAAAATCTGTCAAAAGAAACCTCCTTTCTGAATTATCTAAACAGTTGAAAAACTTGTTAGTACAAAATCTAAGACAGCTTCAAAACACTGTGAGATTTAAGAAATGTTTAGGCATTTATCACCAAGGTGAAGTATTTCCACTGCTGCCCTCAGGATGAGGAGCAGTTCACAGTCTGCAAAAGGTCCTCACTGCTTCGGCTGGGAGTCAAATGCACTGACTTCCAACAGTTTTCAGCAAGAAATTTTGTGCTCTCAGGAGGTTTTGCATTAACCTTGGTGGAAAACTGCACACTAGATTCAGCAGAGCTCTGAAGTGTGTTCCTGATTTTATGTCAGTGGAAAAAAATGCGCTTACATGTTTGGTTGACTCAAAATCTAAACCCTCTGTGTTTTAAAACTAGAACTGGTTTGTTGCAGTTAGCTGAGGAGCATCTTCACCTACATTGCTCTATTGGTGTCTCTCGACCTGAACTTCAAGAGATCACTTCTGATGGGCAGGGAATTTAATTTTTTGGTGCTTCTCCTGCTTGTTTTTTTATCTCATCTGAGAATACAAGGCCAATTTCAAGACCAGGCTGGATGGGGCTTTGAGCAACCTGGTCTAGTGGGAGGTGTTCCTGGGGGGTTGGAACTCAACGATCTTGAAGGTGCCTTCCAATTCTAACCACTCTATGATTCTGTGATTTTATAATGTTGTTACAGGTTGGTTTGGGGTTTGACAGCAGAAACTCCAGCAGAAACTGTACAAAAGCAGACAATTTTTTATGTAATCCACCAAGCAGATAAACAGTTGTAGATTTTGGTACGCTCTCTTGACATGTTTGCTTTATTAAGCCAAATAAAGACAGTCTCATACATTGAGCTATCCACAGCCCTAAAATTCTAGATCAAGGATGCTGACATCAGATGGGTTAGGCCTACTTTTTGTGGTCTGGTTTGGAATTGCTATGAATTACCGTGACAGTTTTCATACTAACTTAGAATAAAATATGCCACTTTAATGAAACAGAAAGACTTCTGAACTCTGCTTCAAATGTTAACATGTTTAAATGTTCAACTAGCTTTTCGGGGGGCTATTTTCTCATTAATCCAGTTTATGTAGTTTGTCACTCGTGTGTATACTCCAGGTTTGTTGACTCTGCCACAGCCATCTCCCCAGCTGATAACTCCATAGAGGTAAGAGATTTCATTTTCTTCACAGGCAAGAGGTCCACCAGAATCTCCCTGTGTAAAAAGTAAGGAAAGGTTATCTAATTTAATAGAAAGCAGTCAGAAAAAGACCAGTTCAGGAAAGTTCTCAATTAAGAATGTTTGCATATGAGATTTAAACATAAAAAAAAAAAAAAAAAAAAAAGAAGCAGATTTGTACTAATGTTTCATTGTAGAAAGCTTTTTCAAGTCATACTCACCTCTAATATGATGGTGTGTTTTTTTTTAATTCCACATTGAACAGAAGTATCAAAATAGAATCACAGAATGGTTTGGGTTGGAAGGGACCTTAAAGATCATCTACTTCCAACCCCCCTGCCATGGGCAGGGACACCTCCCACTAGAGCAGGTTGCTCAAAGCTCCTCTACAGCCACCGTGAAGACAGCCCCTGATCCCCTTCCACATTGCCTCTCCTTCAGGATGCACAAATCCAGGTACCTGAGGCTCTCTGGGTCCACCACGGGCTGTGGCCCCCAACTCACCCCCCTCAGACTTGCTGCAGTCTGTCAGTATTTCTCCAGATTTTGTTTAAAAAATTGAAATTCTTTTAGGTTCAGACACCTATTGAAGAGCACGGTTGATGTGGGTCACTTGCAATGGGAGTAAGCAAGTCGTTAGTCTTACACTGCGCTGTAATATGGGCTCTGCGTGGATGGATTACATAAAGCAGAGAATATTTGGAGTGTTTCTCAATGCAGTTTATTGCAACCGTCAAAGACCACAGGAGTTCTCAAAAAAAGGTGTTGCATACATACACACTTTTCCAGGTGACTGTGGGATGCTATAATTTTATGTGGCATGTGGGTTTTTTTGCATCTGTTGAATTTGATGCTATGGAGCATTTACCTTGTCATTAAAACCATAAACCGGAAATAAGACCAAACTTAAACATTTTTAAGGACACACTACAGCAAGAATAAATTTGGAACACTTCTACTTATTTAAAAGCTCACAAGCATTCTGGAAAGGGAGTTTTATTATTATTACTCTTAGATTGACTTTCTACAGAAATTAAAATATTAGAAATTAAAAGAAAAATGTGACTCAGTAAACAGTACCAGTGAAAGGACCACCACTCTAATTATTTGGGACTGAGGATAAATATATTTTTTCCTATTTAAAAAGAAAATCGCAAAGTACATAGGAAAATTGTGTTGCCTTTATACTAGGAGATTTCTGTGACAAATGAGGGACATCAACTGAAGTCTTGCATTTGAGATCAATTTACTTCACAGAACCTTGCTTATTTCTCCATAACTTGTCTCATTGATTGCAATTTTGGTATCAGTGCACTGATCTTCAAAAAAAAAAAAAAAAAAAGTAGTTTCCAAGAAAATCGTTTAAAAATAATGAAGCAGAACGCATTATCTGCTTGGTATTTCTTGGTCTTGAAATATTTTTATACATAACAGATTGTTTATAGCTTAATTTCCTAAGCATACATTAAGACAACTCAGGGGCCAGATACATTTGTTGTGAAATTAAGAGGTCTACACCATTTCTCCTTGGACCACACTACAAGTCTGCCAACAGGAAAAAAAAAAAAAAAAGGCAAATTATCGATTCACTAATAATGATTTAATGTCAAGAGCACTGTTCTTCAGCAACATCTGTGACTCTAAATCACTGTTTCACAGATTTTGCCTCTTTGCAGCTCCTCTCTCCTTCCCTCTGCTTTCTTCTTTCACCCTCTCGTTCCTGATCTACTCTTTTTTCATAGGGCAGGGAGCAAGAACCAGCTATATTGCTGTGTCTTGTGTTTGTACTTCCTGGGTAAGGCATGGAAAACTGAGCGAGCAAGGTAATTCTAGTTCTCTGGGCAGCATGAACACCTGGAGCCAATAACCACAGTCAGTTCTCAGCCCTGGCCTGGAAACCTTGAGCCACTGCTGGCTGCTGCCATTTCACTCCTGACACCTTCCTTTGGACCCTTTTATGAACTCTGTAGAGATTCCAGCACACAGCATACATGATATTATTTGCTTTACTTAATCTCATTGCCAACTATTAGCTATGTGCTGCCTGTTCCCAAATTGATGCTAATAGAGCATAACCCTCCTCCTTCAAAATGAACTGAAGATAAAATCTGAAGGTTTATATAAGGAATAATCTGATCCTTCATTTAAAAAATAGCCTCATCTATCACCACAACAATTCTGCATCCTTATTCAGAGCCAAGGCGTGACACAATTCAAAAAGAAATGCGAAGTACTAAGAGCATGAAGTCATTTCACAAAGGACAGAGGTCATGACCCACCATTTCCAGTGGACTGATATTCTCCACTGTTAAATCCCATCCACTGTACTCACCTTCTTCCTCCTCCAAACCTCCCCACAGCTCCCCACCTCCTACCCAGGTGTCCTTACTTCTGTTAGACAAGAGGCAGCACCTGGGGGATTTGGGACAGGCACACCTTGGTCAGGCTGCCAACACATCCCTGCCAGCTGACCAGCAAACCATTGCCATCACACCATGGGGTCAGCCAGGAGCTCAAGCAACTCCCCCTCAAGTGTTTAGCCGCTGCCTTTTATGAAGATAAGAGGAATATAACAGCCTGGAAGTTTTTTGCCCTTCTGTAGAATTTAACTGACATTGAACAGGTTAAAAAAAATGAAGCTGGAAGCAAACAGTGCAGTCACATAAGTTTCTATTCTTTAGGAACGTTTCTTTTCTTTAGGAACACTGTGTGTCAAAAGCAAGCACTGTAACACTGCAACATTTCTGGCAATAATATACATTTATATTCTCTGCCTAGAGATGACTCACAACATTACCTGACAAGCATCAGATGTGCTATCGACGTAGCCAGCACAGAACATATTTTCAGTGATTTCTGTTCCATAAATTTCAGGGCTTCTGCACTTCTCCTCAGGAATAATTGGAATCAATGTTTCTTGCAGGACTTTTGAATAACCAGTTAGATCTTTAAAAAAATTCCAAGAGAGGAAAAGAAAGTCATTTTTATAGAATGTGAACATGAAAACATATTGCACAGTACAACACATAAACACACTTAACACATTTCATCATATTCATGTTGTGGATTTCTTTAAAAGATAATATTTTTTCTAGTGATCAGATCACACGCTGCTCCTCCAGTAAGACCACATGCCCTTTAAAATAACAGTATGCCACGTCCAGACATTAATTCACTTTGGGTTCTCTCATTTCCTAGAGAGTCAGGAACATTCCCCCAGCACTCCTGTCCTCTCCTCTTTCCAGATGTGACATTAAATCATCAATCTATCAAAGGCTTAATTACCTCTTTTTGCCTTTAGACTAAACATTTAGACCAGGACAACATTTGCTTATACTAAATCTCTTACCAAAACGAGACAGCCACCTCCCTCATCCTTCTCATCTATCTACATAGGTTTCTGCTATCTCCACATCAAAGCAGCATGGCCAAGCATCATAATACTGAAATTCCTCATCTGAAAAGATGTGATGGAGTTTTCCACCTTTCTCAAATTGTATGCAAGCACTTCTTAGCTCTCTATCTGGCCCTCTCCTGTAGATGTTTCCAAAGATTCTTGCCAGCAAAGGTAAAGATCTCCACCATCACAGACTAGTAAATTCATTTGGTTTGGTTTGTGGTCTTTGATATCTACCTTGAGAAACTAGGGAAAGGATTCACTCGACTAAGGTGTCAAGTTGTCAGCACCTACAATTAAAATACTTGCTCCCCTCCCAGTCCACAGAGATCTAGCTAGTTCACAGCTCAGCTCATCCTAAAACAGATGCAAACATTTGGTCAAGGGAACTGCACTCCAAATTCCAAGGACTATAAAGGAAGTTCAAGATGAGGTAGATTAAAAGAATCCCACCAGAAGTCCTTTGGAAAATATTTTACCACACTATCAGTTGTATAACATATACTTGAGCGTTATGTTTTAATTATCATCAGTTTTTTCTACAGATACCAACTCTCATTTTACTCACTCTCATGCCTGTGTCCCCATCCAGAAATCTGACATTTGAACTGATCAGGGAAAACGGTGTTGCTTTCTGGCAAGCAGATGGGCTGAACAAACTGGGACTTGGTGGCACAACGTTGGCCATTCTTCTTCAGCTTAATCAGAGCTGCAAAATAGAAGATATAGGAGGAATAAAATGACTGTTCCCTTTCTTTAATGGTATTGGCAGCAATGGGTCTCAGATACAACTTTAATTATCCCCTAAGTCTCTTTTAATTAAGATATTTCAATCAAATACAGACAGACTCATCTCAACAGCACCTGATTTCACAGCAAATTGAAGGCTGAAACATTCAGCTACTCCCCTTGTGGGAATATTTATTTTATGCTGTGCTCGGTGAGCAGATTTTGCTTCACTGCCTTTGTAGAGAAAAGGGAAGATAGAAAATACATATGCCTCCTCCCACCTTAAAGTTAAATAACAGTGACATATCCACAACTTTCAACTGAAATAAGTGGGACGTGCAAGTGCTCACTGCTTCTGAAAGTCTGGCCACCTGCCTAATTCCAATTTGATTTAAAAAATTAATTACTGCAAAGGCTGGTGTGTTTTGTGCTCTGTATTATCACCCAGTTTGGTGAAATTCAAGATCTTGAAAATTAAGGAATAAAAAAAAAAAAAAAATCAGGATATTTCAAAACCAAGCTTCTGAAAACCACGAAGAATTAAACAACTTACACAAGCTTTACTATCCACTCATGGGGCTGAGCAGCATGAGCTTGATACTGAAAGATGTCAAAAGTAGCACAAACATTGATTCCCCTGTAGCAAACCTCTTGTGTTTGGCTGTAGAGCAATAGAAGGGGCTTTGTGCTGGGTGTAACAAGGACAGCATGTTGAGTTTGGGCACTTTGCTCAAAGAGGACAGAGCTGAGGTAACATGGACACACCTACTAAAGCTTCACACCATGCCTTTTCGAAGCTCCAGGTTTTCTGAGCACAGCTGTGTGGCAAGCAAGAGATCCCACTGGATAGTCTTATTTCTCTACTGACTACATTTTTTCGCCTTTGTGGAACACGTACAGAGTATCTCACAGGCTGAGAAGCCCACACAAACCACTCTCCAACATTCAGCAGCTTGCTTTTCCTCGCCTTCCTCCACTCCCCCACCATCTCTGTATGTTTCTGAATCCCCCAAACTTCCCAGCAAACGCTTGTTTGGTAGTTTGTTTCCTTTTGAAAAGCAGTTTCAGCAGGAATAACTCTTCTGCTGCATCAGTAGAAATCACTGACAGGGCAGAATGCACCCCAACAGCTTTCCCCCCCAGTTTCTGCCTGCTTGTTTGTTTGCTTGCAGTGGGGCACGTCGTAGGAAACTCTACGTTCAGCTGACCCTGGATTTGGACATTGCACGTTGGTGAGGCATGCTGAAGTCCAGAATAATCAAAAAAGTTAGGAGATTTCAAAATGCCAATGGTGGTTTACACCAGTATATTTCAGAGCAGAGTAATACCCCAAATCCAGTTTTTCTCCCGGTACACTGTGACTGAGCTCCAGCCAACACATCTGAATGTTTTTTGCTGCAGAGTAAAAAATATTCCCCATCTGGGTGCAAGAAAGCAGTACATGCTTGACCTGTGATATCCACCATGTCAGGCTATTAAACAGTCTCACAGACGAAGTGCCCACACAGCTTGCTACCCCGGGGTGACACATCACCTTCCACAACAGCAGATCAGAAAATAAGAAGCGAGTCGCTGTTCCATTGTCATTCTGACTCATATTATAAGGTCAATCAGAAGGGCATTTAACTTTTGACTGATAAGACAGCTGATTTTTAAACCTATCTCAGTGTAAAAAATGATCCTTAGTAACATGGATTTTCAGAGCAGATGGGGCTATTATACTCATCTAGTCAGATCCCCTATACAATACAGACAATAGAATTTTACCAAGTGATTCCTCCATCGAGCCCACAGTTTCTGGTTCAGTTGAAAAAAATGCCAAATCCCACAAAGACTTGGAGTGATGATGAATCTGCCATAAATTTCGGGAAATTGCTCAAAAGGCTAATTATCATAATTATTTAAAATTTGCAATTTATTTCTCATCTGAATTTGTCTAGCTTTCAGATGCTCTCATAACTGTGGTAGAACTAAGAACTCTCTGCATCTGAAAGCTTCTCCTAATGCCTATGACTCTTCCACTACGAAGGCAGTTTTTGACAAATCAACTCGAAACTAACTTGAGTAAACAGAAAATAAAACTGTAAACAAAAATACTCACCAATATCATGTTCAGTAGGGTTGAACACAGAATACTGAGGATGCAAGATGTATTTCTCTATTTCAAATGTTTGGGTTACATCAGTTGTTTTATTAAATATATGCTGACCCAGAACTACCCTGATAGTCGATTTTAGTGGACTGTAATACAAAATAGAGAACAAGCAATTCTGTGATTAGCCAGTGAAACAAAACCTCATTTCCAATGACTGTGTGTCCCATGAACTGTAATAACCCCAGGCCCCACCGCATCGATTACTTACCCTCTCATAATGCCTTGACCTGTTTCCCAGGCTGCCTACCTACTGTGGGCCAGGAAAAAGATGACTAAGGTTACAGCGAGTCCCAGGCTCTGTGGGTCCTGATTAGCCTAATTAAAGGCCAGCACAGGGACTGCTGCCCAGCTGCTGTCTGACTAACAAGCATCTTCAGGGGCTGCAAGCACTTCTTGTTTTAGAAAACTAACCGAGTCAACCTCAACCAGACTTTGCCAATGAGTACAAAATCACTGAGGAAAACGTGAGGGGCCAAAAGATACGTCAGTGGTGGATCTCTCATTTCCCTGGGAAATTAGGCTCTTAAAATATTACGGGTGTGGGTCAAAAGTTTAAAGGCACTGGCAAACTGACAACTCAGGAACACCTGGGCAGCTTCCACCTGAGAGCTATCACCACTTCTGCTCTGAGATTAGATTGATCTATGGTAAATCTGTTGTCTAGAATCAAAAGCAACTTTGTGGAGGAAGGTCCCAACAGCACATTGATCTAATGGGAAAAACCTAACTCAGAGAAAAATACAGTTTTTGTAATTCACAGCATCTTTTTCAGCTATTGATAGTTTACTTTACGCAGTCCTCTCATATCAGGTGTCCTACGGAGGACAACTAATAGAAACCAGTGCAGCAGTTGGAAAGAAAGGCACACCTGGGAATAACCAGGAGGTGTTTGTAAAGGCAGTACATTCTCCAGTTTTGAAAGCAATGGAATTCAAATTTCACTCATACTTTAAAACCAATTTGATCTGCGTGTCCTTAAGTCTACAATGAACTCAGCAAGTGTCTTCAACATCAGAGCACTCATGCTTTGTTTTCCAGTGCAGGAGCAGAAAATATCTGCTGCCACACATCATGCACAGATACAGAGTGGTCAACATCATTGCAAAATTTCCCTAGTTGTGTTTCTGTGCATCAGTATCCCTTGTCAGAAACAAAAGCTCTGTGTTGTCTCCTCCAGTACTGAGCACGAAGCAATGATCAATAGTAATGTACTTAGAAGAAAGAGATAATGGCGATGCAGAGGGCCAGCAGCTCTCCTGCATCAATGGCTATGCTTATAATTAACAAAGGAAAGTGCAAAGTTTATCTTTCTGTCACTGGAAAACAATAAAAGATTCTTTGATTATTGCGTAAGGCTTTTCTCAGTGTTCTTGCAGTGGCAAGCTAACCCCCTTGAAAATCAGATTTTTGCTTCCCAGGTTAGTATTTAGAATAGATTTTAAAGGTACTGAATGGTTCTACTCTGACTTACAGGTGGTTCATTCAGGAAAAGAAATAAAACAGGAGGGATTACAAAAAAGGAAAAAAAAAAAAAAAGCTGCACAGGTATCTATTGTCGCCTAGCGGAAAACAGTTGAAATCGTGGTACTAAACATACGGAAGAGTGCAAATTACAATGCAGCAATTATGGAAAATCTGTATGTACCAAACCACCAGCTGGAAGTGGGTGGAAATGTCCTGAATAGCTGCCAAAGTTAGTAGCTATTTCACAACATTTGAAAAACAAATGCGTTATGGCTCAAGCTCCAAATGCTTCAGTACAGCATTCACAATGGTATTATTAGCTCTCCAAGCTATCAGTGTATGTATTCTGGCATGAGGTTTTCTGTTTCTCTTGGCTTCTTTACTATGCAAAGGAACAATGGGTATGAAATGATGTAATATTTCTCCCATCAATGTGATCAAACTGAAATCAGGGAAAGTGTTCGGCATTTGTAGAAAACAAAATATTTAGAATAAAGTAATAGCATCCTATAGTCAGTATTTTCTCCAGTGTCCCACAGCTGGGGGGCAAAAAATGCTCAAAAAATCTCAAAACACCTCTCAAGGAGATCAGCCTCAAAAATGTAACGGTTCAGTTCTTTCCTTTGCTTTTTCTGCAGCTCAGCCCACTCTATTTGTGCCAGCCAACAGTAATTTATTGTCTCTAATAAATCACTGCTTGGCTCTCTCAGTCTTTTTGAACAAAACACAGCAGTGAGCATAGTCACGTCTGCTACATCTCAAAGCAGGCATAACATTCAAAAAGGTAGCTGAGAAGAAGGTAAACACTTATAAGCCTGCATATGCAATCTCCCATTCTATGTCCTGCTCAGCACTACCTTATTCCTTCTTTTAGGTGATTTACCCTGTTTGAGACTTCTTAAGGAACAAGATAAGGGCTTATGAGATAACAGGACTCCAAACTATTAGTTAGTTTAATGAACAGCATTGAAATTGCCAGAAACTCCTTTTGAAACATTTTATAATCTTGTTTTCTTTCTTACTTATTTCAGTTCAGGTTTGTTGCAAGTCACAAGCAGATGGTGACTATAAGGAGGGGAGGACCTAGTGTCAAACTGTTCAATGAGTTTACCTGTTAGCAAAGCAGTGTGCTGCTGACACAACCCAGCAAGTCTGAATAAGGCTTCCACCACAGAAACTCTCTCCAATATATATAGCTGCTGTCCAGGGATGAGATCCAGGCAGAGATGAAGATCCCCCAACAATCCTAGGTCTCACAAAACTTCTTTTTTTGTGTCTTCTCCCACATGGTCTCCTGGTGATTGCAGAACTATCTGTGTTGTCTGGAACTGGTGGCCTCCTTTCCCTGCTTGCTGAGATATAAAGGAGTATGGCATCAGGCTAGAAATCCTTGTGATTTCTAAGGACTGGAACTTTTATAGGAGTCTTTAAAAGAAAGGTTTGTTAAATTATCATTAAACATGCACATACAACTGATTTTCATTTATTTCCTTAGAAGACTTGCAAGACTGAAAGCTATGTCTATTTCCAACACTCTGGCTACACATGTACTAGTGTCAATTAAATGCATCTGTGAACGTTCCCAGACACTATTTCATTTACTAGTACAAATGCAACCTTCACTACTAGAGGAGGCACAAAATAATGCATGATACATCACATCTTAATTTTCAGATTCTGAGCTGAGGTTTACCATTGCAATAGCAAGGACTAGGACACTTGGGTTAAACATATCATCTATCAAATGCATTAGAACCATAAAAGGGAAATAAAAGGACCAGTTTATAAACTGTCTTTCCAGAGTACAACTCCATTCTAACGGTCAGCTTCAACATTAACAATAGTTAAATATTAATTTAGGGGAAGAGCAGAATTATTTAGTTTTTGGAATTAAATGCTATGTCTCACATCTTCAGCATCCCATCCTCCATTTTCTCAAAGAGGCCCATTCCCTTCTCTGGGCCCATAATTCCCTAAGTGATGACAATTTGTACCAAAGCATTGATCATTTCTGATCTGTCTTGCATGTTCTAGCAGAAAATTTGATGATATTAGGATGATTTTGACTGAAAGCAGTAGTAGGACACCACTGTTATACAGTATTTCAGGACAAACATCACAGACTGCATTGCAACTCTAAAAAAGGAAAAAGAAGTTTGTTGTTGTCATATGACTTAGTGCAAGCAGTAAAATATTCAACACTCCTGGGAACATTAGAACATTCAAAATTATACAGTGAAAGCTTGTTCTAGTATCAATAAATCTTTCTTCATTCATTCATAACATGGATTTTAAGAGAGCCTTTACATACCACAAGATGGAATGTCACAATACTCCCAAGACAAGCTGTCGTCCTTCATGATGTAACACCATGGCTTCTCATCATCATCTGGATTTCTAATTAATTCAGGGGGAGAGCGAATGACAAGCATTAACCACATTGTTGTTCCAAGCTCCCCAGAGGTTTTCTGCTATTTGCTCTGTGCCATGCAGAGGACCAACAGGACTCTCAGGTTTCGAGCCGTCGGACAAAGCGCTGCAGCACCTGCTTACCCCTAAAAGGCTGAGCAGCTTTTCAGTAGCGTTCTTCATGCTAAAAGCCAAGTCTGAGGTTCTCTAGGACCTGAAGTACAGACACATGACTGAACACCTGTAAAATTTGCCTACAAGTATTTGGATGCATGAGCACGTTCCCATGGTTTAAATACAGCCCACACTTGAAGTGCTTTAACAGATATCAGCTCAGCTATTTTCAGGACTAAATCCCATGGGAGAGAATCCTTTTTTAGGTGATTTTTTTTTTAAGCAAGGAAATTCCAACACAGGTAGATCATAGAAAATCCATAACAAGAATAGCTAGCAAAAAAAAATTTGAGAAGCTCAGGTGCACATTCCCTGGAGAGTCTGATGAAATGAAAGACTACCTCAAAAAGTATTATATTCCTCAAAGCAGGGGGGGAATATCAGAAACAGTTTAGCCCTTTGTTACGTTGGCGTTAAACAGTTTTTGCTTTCATTCCATTAGGATTTCTCCATGGTACAGCCTAATTGCCTTTATCAATGCCATATAAATAACCAGAAATTTGCCTAGTTTACTCCTCCAAGAATATAAGGAAACTTTGAAGACCCAGAAAGGTCTACAGTAGGCCAAGACAAATAGACAAGGTAATTCAGCTAAACAGTAATTCTAATTTCAGTTGGATTTATCAGAAGCACTATCTATTATTATAAGGTTCTTCAATATTTTTTTCTTTTTAATCTGACTGCTCTTCAGAAAAAGATTAAAGCACTTTGAAATTCTCAGAACTGAAGAAGCAACACAGGTTGAGTCATCTTCCGCCAACAATGTTTCTAAATTGGACTATTTGAAGAAGAAGATATCTGCAGGATTATATAGTGTAGCAGAGTTATCCCCAGAAATTGTAACAAGCTGACAAAAAAGTGAAAAGCTTTTTTCTCACCTCTACAGAACATGAACACATCAGCTCCTACACCATTTTATTCTTTGCATTTCAGATCTGCAAGTGAATATTGTGCTTAAATAATGCAACCCAAAGGGATCGAGTTTTATCAAAGAATAAAATATGTGCCCAATAAAATGCCTTGCTGGGACACCATTAATCTCATACTTCAGTGATTGAGTCAGGACCAAGCCTTGGAAAGTAAGCCCATCTGGGTTAAGGGAGGGCGTAGGAACTGTTCGTTATTAGTTTGGTAGAGGAGAAGAGCTACTTTCAACATGCATGTGTGCTTTTTATCACCAAACAAATTAGGAAGTGCAGTACATTCTTATCTTCCTGAAATACTGGTCTAAGTTTCACACACACACACACAAAAAAAATATCCACCACCAAAAAAACCCCAACCAAACCCAAAAAATCCAAACAAACAAAAATATCCCCAAAGCCTAAACATAGACCAGTAATTTATGAAGAAGTGTCTGATGTTTGCCATTTTTATCATTTACTCCCCACCAGGATTCTCTCTAAAAGGAAACATTTTCTTTGTGGATATCCATTGATCTCACGAGGACCTCAGAGACAGAGGGAGCATAAAATAGCTGAGGAGAAAGCACAAACCTATATATCACAAAGTTCATTATAGCTGAACAGAAAACTTTAGCAGAAATGTAGTTTATCATATGTATGGATCAATGAAAACTGTGAAAAGTTATTTTGCAATAATTTTGCTTTGGAAGAAATCCAGGAAAGAAATTCAACACTCCATATCAATATTATTGAGGTATTTTGCTTTGATTTTTCATTTTCTAATAACTTTTCACTTTTGAAAATATTTTCTTTTATGTAATGTATTTCACAATTTAAGAATTAGAAATCAAAAGTTAACCATTTCAGTTTGGCTAATGCATTTGTTTCTCCTTTTGGATAGCCATTTATGGAGTCACTAAGGTCTCATTTTAAAAAATAATCCCAGAAAAAAATCATCTGTAATTTCCAACATCATTTTGTGTCTAAGCTTCACTTGACAGACAAAGGTATCGACCTTGTCTGTCTACCAGATCATATAGTCGTAGAATCATGGAATGGTTTGGGTTGGAAGGGACTTTAAATATCATCTAGTTCCAACCCCCTGCCATGGGCAGGGACACCTCCCACTTAGACCAGGTAGATCTTGACACTTACATCCCTCCTGTTAAAGTCAGTCTGGCTTTTCCAAGACAGGAAAAACACCAGCTTTGAGATTCCTGGCCCTTCTCCTTTCCCTAATTCATCCATCTCACCATTTACAAATATAAGGCAGTCATGAACTTTTCTCACCTGCAGTAAGAGAAGGGCCCCAGGCCGAGCTGTACTGCTTTCTCCACGCTGTCGACATGAAGCTCTTTGTAAAGCAAGTCTGAATGCCAGGGCAAGCAGCTGTGTCCAGAAATGGTTGTCTTTGCCGTACCTCTGTACTCCATGCCATTCCCAACATAGCACCGGTGGCTAGGAGCTGGCACAGCATAAAACACTGGTCAGGAATTGATCTTAATTACACGTTAAATACTTACTTCACAGCTGAGGTCCCAAATGAGAGCCAGTGGTCCCAATTCCCTGTAATGCCTTTCACCTTTCACAGGAATCGAATGCATCAAATGAGGATTATTTTTTTTTTAATAAAAGAACCCAAGCAGTTAAAAATTCTGTTTAAAATTAGTACTGAGTTAGCCTCATTTTTACGCATGCACAAATAACTATTTAACTGGCAGTACAGCAGAAAATTAAACCTAAAATTTGTACTGCGTATGGAAGATTTTAGTCAGCAATCTGCAGCAAAGTCAGCAATATGGCTGGGACTCCTTCTGTCTAATTTTAGACACAACTGAGCTCATCACTGGAGACTCCCCTTTAGTCAATTAAGAGAAACAGGCATTTCAAGTGCCAAACTGATCCAGCCTGTTTGAGATGGCTTTTTTAAGATGAGATGAATCTTGCCATAAATTCTTGACTGCATTGACTGAATCTCCATTGACAATAAAGGGAGCTTAAGTCAACCAGCTCAGATAGAGATATCTGTGTTGTAAAGCAGTGAAAACAATCCTGCCCTGCCAGCAAGTGCTTCAAAGGTCTGATTTTGGAAAATACTTCTTTTTATGGCCTCATACACACCCGTATATATACACTATATCCATGAATATTACATATATGTAGCTACATATGGCAAACATTTCAATTTTGCAAAAATTTAACTAGAAGGTTGAGTTTTCTTATTCAAAACCCATTTCTTTGTCACCTGCACATGGGTTATTTCTTCAGATAGGTCTGACACATACATATTCTATGTATACTGTATACTCAGCTGCCAAGATCTATCAACAGCACATACCAGCATTATGGCTGAAAAACATATGGGGATGCATTTGTATACAAATAGCTACACTGAGCAGAAAGTCTACACCTCAAAACACGGCTCAGAGTATCTCAAAGGAAACACAAAACCATCTAATGTACAAAGAGGATTAATTGTGACCAAGCCTTAGAGGTTTTTTTATCCCAGCCATGTCAGTGTGACTTATCCTTGACATCTGCAAGACTAGTGGAATCTCCTTCTAAACTGATAAACATACTTAAATATATAACATCATGATATTCCTTTACTGTTGAAAAACACACTGTGAGGATGATCTATCAGACCACACGGTGTGGACAGCTATTGCCAAAGATCTGTTTGTTTTGACAGAAGAAGGTGACACACGAACCAGGGGATATAAGCAGCGCTGAAATAGTGAATCGCAGCAATGAACTGCTGATGTCAATTATCCTTCCAAGTCATCAGGGCAGCAACAGACCACAGAACCACAAGCAAGCATATGGCATGAATTTGGGAGCTGAAGGTCAAGAGGTTTGGTCCAAGAACTTCAGTGTGAGTTAGCATACAAATACTTCGCAAAATTCATTTTCTGGTTTGGCCTGGCAGACACTTCTGAGATAAGGCAATATTTTCTCCCACTCACCCCCTGAATCAAATTCCCTTTATTTCAATAACTATGAATATAACATTAAATCAAACTCATATTGTAACAACCGTAATCTAGGAGCTCAGAGAAAATAATTTGTCTGTCATTTGTGTTGCCAGCAATAGCAACCATTTCTTGGCAACCCTGCCATTTATTTTCTGGGCAAGTTGCAAGTTATGCGGCTTTGTTTCCCTGAAACAGTGTCATGAAAATACCACCACCATGTTGTATGCTGAATTCTTTCATTTATCCAGGGAAGTGCCAGGTGCTGTTTTTATTTGTGCTGTATTTATTACATTCAGGAGTGATTTAGAGTTGACTACTTTTACGAGGATGAAACAAGAGATTCTGTTTCAGTGCAGAACCAGGGATATATTCTGCAATACCAATGCTTTGGACATCCTGCAGATGGTGTTTACAAGTTGTGCTCATCCGTATCAGGCTTAAAAGCCAATGCATCTCTGTTTCGTCAGATCTGACAGTCATTGCTAAAGCTGCCAGAAGATTATAACTGGGAGAATTTGGCCCCTTTCTAAATCATCCCTTACGTAATTCTCCTCTGACTAAAAAGCTTGGATTCTATGTTGCACTTGTTGAGAGAAACAGTAATATCTCTGAGACAGTTTTTTGTTTCTTTCCGGTTTTCTAAGGAGTATTTCGGGCACAGGAGTAAAGGGACTTAATCTTGTATCCTGAGGACAAACATTGGGTTAATACAGTTGTTTCATTAGTAGCTTTCCATTGGTCTGTTCTCCACTCCATCAAGCTCTATTTGACTGGCTTGCAGTAGAACCACAGTACCCATATCACAGCTCATTAAAGGGCAGTTCTTTATGTATCTAAGGCCATTTAAAAGTATATGCGAAACCTAACACATTTGTCACCTATAATTCAAGACAAATTGTTTTCAAAAAAATCTGTGAAACTGTTGCAGTCGTATAGATCTTCTGCTTCTAATACTCTTTTCTGAACAGTTGCAGCACTGAAAAATCTCTTTTTTCCTTTTTGTCAGAAACAGCGTGTAGGTGGTCTGCTTTCAGCAGTTCTTAATGGATTGCTCTGACTGGGAATTATTAGTTCTCAATTCTTTATAGCTGCTGTAACTTCTCCTAACTCTGAAACATATTTATTTTCTTATATGGAAGAAAGTAATGAAGGACATAATATTTTCTTTTTCTTGTTCATTCACTTCCCTGTGGTACTGCCAATCATGGTGTTAAGAGTAGAAATGGCCTAGACCCCAGACTTTCAGATGATGAAAGTTTTGATGCAAATGCAGATTCAAGTTATTCTGCAGACCTATGCCATACTCACCACTGTTCATTTCTTTTCAGAAAAAAAAAAAAAAGAAACAAATCATTAACATTTAAATATGATTTATTTTTAAAATCCCTCAGGTTTAAATAGCTCATATAAAACATTCTAGTTTTGTTAGGATGGCATATTTTATGAGCATGTCATACCAATTCTTTGCCTTTCAATTTTTCAGTAAAACACAGTTTCAGGTCTTAAAATTAAAAGCAACCTGAAATAGCAGTTATTCAACCAGTTCTAATTGCTAACTTCCTGAAAACATTTCACAAGACTTTTTGACACCAGATCTGTAGTTATATACTTGAACATTTTAATGAGTTTCTTTTGGAAGTCTTTCAGCAATTTTGCTAATGTTTTTGAGCTTTGACTGTATTATCCTTCCAGATGTGCATAAGATTTTGCATTTTGTTAATGAAAAAACATTATGCCCCGATAGTCCTAGTCCTGGGACAGGATGATTTTAAGTAATCCTTTCATTCAGTAATGCTTTATTTTATCCCTGACGAATCTGTAGTGCTTTTATTCTTAGGTGAAGTTCTATATCAGCTGGTGGCAGGAGCGGAGCGGAGCGGAGCGGAGAGGAGAGGAGAGGAGAGGAGAGGAGAGGAGGACAAAGTCTCGCTTCTACTTGCAATTACCTTTACAAGAGGTCTTGTTCTGTCTTAATTATCAGTTACCCAGATGGAAGAGTTCTTCAGAAAATCATAGACTAAAGCAAAGCCCTGGTGGAGTTACAAGAACATCCTCTGTCCAGAGCTTCCCTGGAGCACATGTCCACTCCTGTTGCAGTGCTTCAGGAAGCTCCAGAGCCAAAGGCCTGAGTGCCTGCCCTATGTCTCCTGCACTGGTGAGAGAGAGAACTTCAGCCCTCACTAGAGAGCAGCTGGGTTGGCAGACAGGGCATTCATATCTCTCTGAAGACTTCCTAACACATTTATCAACTTATACTTCCATCTGATCCTGTTTCATCTATTAACAATGAAGATGAATAGCAATGAAAAATTACATTTTATGCCTCTGCATAAGCTTATTGCTTGCACTGCCTCAGCATTGCAGGATGTGTTGCTCTCCAAGGCATCCTTTACAAAGGGTACAAGTCAAGTTTCCTTCCTATATGAGCTCAGGCTCTTTGGATGCCTGCAGAAGGGTCCATCTTTTCTTTATTGACCTAGAAGTTCCCTGATCTCCTTTTCCTGGGTAGCTGTGAGAGCCCCTCAGAGATGATAGGTGTACTTCCCCTGCTGCAGCTGCCTCTAATGCTGGTCTGAGCTGGCAATAAACATGTGATAGAAAGGTGTCTTCAGCATTTGCAGAGATTGCTTTTACAGGCATCTCACTTGGTTGGATAAAGCCTTGAAAACCCCTTCAGGTATTCTGAAAACAGTAAGGCAGATATTCCTCTGCAAAATGACACAAACACCATGCAGAGACCTCTGAAGGACATTCACGTTAACCTACCACTACTGCTCATCATCCTCCCAAAGAACAATCTGATTTAACTTCAGAACAAACTCTCCCTCCCCCTACCACTGGAAAACTCCTTAATTATCTAGGAAGCTGGCCAGATCTACACAGAATGCACTGACGAAAGCAGTTGTCATCTTTTTCTCTCTTTAATGATGAGAATACAAAGTCTGATACACAGGGGCAGGGCAGGAGACTGCGTGGCAGCGGCCCCAGGACTGGACTGTTCTGGGCTTGAAGCAAATTGCTTCACATCTTCATGCACTAATACCTGCCTGTGGAAGTGAGAATAACAGCACCCTCTGTATTACTCAGAGTTTGCAAATTAACGAACATAAACCACAACTGAAGTATAAGGGAAGCTATATATAGAGAGCGAGATATATTTCTAAATAATTCAACTATACATGTATAATATTTCTCTAGATTTCAATATTTGTGTTTGGGCTTAAGATTTAATACAACAGCAGATAATGTATTTAAGAAATTTACCACAAATAATTGATTCAAATAGTTGTGCTGCTTTCTGGTTTGTTGAATAGCAATAAAATCTATGGACTGACAGCACCTAACACTGAAATAAATCCCTGCTGAAGCCATAGCCTGATTATGAAACACACAAACAATCTGTCTGAGACAAAAACTAGGCAGAAATGTGGAAATGTTGGCATCCTTTTGCAATGAATTAAATCTAATGGAAACTTACCATGTAGAACAA